AAAAATGAAGTACCGGGCATAGTACCTGACTCATGATGTATAATTGCTGTCACTCAGCAGGCCGCTGCATATATTTGGAAGGTGTGACAGACCTTCACGTAGGTAATAGCTAGAAACTGTAAGAGTGTATAGAAGCAAATAGCAATGGTATGAAAGGATCATTTTTATGTTTAGAAACATCATTCTGGATGCTGTGGGGAGAATGGATTGGTAGGGAGCAGTGGATTCTAGGGAGCAGAGTCTGGTATATTGGCAGGAACTGAGGCAGAGTTGCTTGAACTGCATGATGGTGGCGGAGATTGGACATGGTTGGACATAATTTGCAGATAGAGCTGGGAACCCCAAATGAGCTGAAGTCTTTCTGGTGTGGGAGGTTATACTTGGCAGGAAGGAGAAAAGAGTCAAGAATCATGCTTGGAGAGTTGACTTGAGCCAAGAAAGGGGGGTTCTGAAAGGCTTCTGAATGGCCTTGAGGGTGCGGTTAGGAAAGAAGCACCTCCATTTGAAAAATATTCTGGGATAGTATTCTACTTTGAGCTTTCAATAGAGTTGAGAGGTTTCTGCTGACTTTTGTGCTGTCCCTCCCCTAAGCATTTCATTCCAGCAGTGGAGTACAGAGAATTCGTAGCTCTTCCTCCCATTCTGGCCCACAGGGGAGGATGGTACAGGTGCCTTTCTCCGTACCCCTCTAGTGTCCAGACCCGTTGCACCTATTCTGCTGCCAGGCCCGAGACGTAGCATTTGGCTTTTACAAAGTTCGAAGAGGAAGCTGAGGACGGGATAGGGAGAGGGATGTGTCTGAGCCACCTGTGCCCAGGGAAGCACCCACACTCTGGAGGAGGGTGGTGTCAGCCACCTCGCCTGGCTGGATGCACGCACCCTGAGATGAGTCATGTCAAAGGCAAAAGAGCTTTGTCTGGGGCGTTATGACACAAGGGACTCAGGACAGTACGCATTTGTCTGGGTTGTCGGCCAGGGCTGACATAGCATGAGGTCTTGGTGACCAGGGTGTGTTTGTCTTGGCAGCTGGGATGACAGCAGCTCCGTGAGCAGCGGGATCAGCGACACCATCGACAACCTCAGCACTGATGACATCAACACCAGCTCCTCCATCAGTTCCTATGCCAACACGCCTGCCTCCTCCCGAAAAAACCTGGATGTGCAGGTAAGGAACTCTGGGCCCTTCCAGGCTTCCAGAGGTAGTGAGCTGGAGATTGTTGGGGAAGGGACAACTTGGGGGGAACAGAATCCTCAGGTCAGTAGCCTTGAGCTTCCCATCAGTGCTCTCGCTTCCAGATTCTGGCCTCTACTCTAGGGAGAGAGGTTCAGACAGTGGGGTGCCAGAAACAGGAGTGGGGGACAAATGTTGACAACCCTGAATCAGAAGGCCCAGAATGTCCTGACCAGAGGTTGGGAACCATCAAGCTGGGCACCTCTTGTGCCCCACAGTACTTCAGTCTCCCCCATCAGTGGTTTCAGTTTCCACAGGCTCAGCTATCAGAACCCAGCTGAGGCCCAAAAATAATTCCTTGCGCTAAAGTGTTTTGAGAATGAGAAACCACATTCAAGTAATTTTTGTTAGAATTTATTGTTACAGTTGTATTATATTAAACTTGTTCATCTCTTACGGTGCCTGATTTATAAAGTCAACTTTATCATAGAGAGGAGAAGACAGTGTATACATAGAGTTAAGCATGATCCACTGTTTCAGGGGCCCACTGGAGGGTCTTGGAGTGTAGTCCCTGTGAGAAAGGGAAGGGGTCTATATTATCTTCCTTTAAGCCATATTCCATGTCAGATTTTTTTAATTGTGTTATTTGAAATGAAAGTGAACTTCCAGTTTCTCGGAAGACATTACTTCCTTGAGCCTCTAGTGACACCCAGGCCCCTGCTGCCTTCCAAACAGCAGCCTGACCCATGGCACTTGAGTGTTGCTTTAATACAGTAAGCCCTTACAGTTGCTGCCAAAGCAGCTTCATGAGCACACGTTCACAGTCCTTACACCACTCCTGAGTGGTTAGAGGGGTGGGCTCTGGTAAACCCACTGTACCAGTGGAAAAGTGGGGTGCCCAAGTTGGAACTGACCAGCACAAAGGCCGGTCAGGTATTGTGGCACCTGCATATGTGAACTGTAGTCCTTTTCCTCATGGATTCCTTCCTCAGGGGAGGTGGCTGCCTTGGGGTAACCCTACAGGGGCTGAAGGGACAGGAGGGAGAGACCTCGGGCGAGGGCAGATGGTTGCTGCCTCCTCCCTGCCTGCTCTCTTCACTTCCTCTCTTACTTACTTTTCTCTTGGTACAGACAGGAGCTGCTTAAGAATCTCTGATTTCAGAGGTGTCTTTTCCTTGCAGACTGGGCTAAATAAAGACTGGATCAAAGTGTGGCAGTAATTCTGCCCCACAGATGTGTAAACATTGGCTGGTAGAACACATTCACTACTGTTCTGGAATTGCCTTTGGCTTCTGAACTTTCACATTAGTCAGAATTTCTCATTATTATTAGGGAGTGAGAGTAGGTTGTAGTGATTGTTTTTTTTAAAGATTTATTTATTTGTGCATACAGAACTGGGGTACAGGCCAGAGGCTCAGGGGCGGTGAGAGGCTTCACCAGAGACAGAGTGGGGAACAGAACAGGCAGATCTACAAGGTACACTGCTGAGGGAAGCAGCGGGTGGGTCAGGAGAGGTCTGCCACGCCATGTGGTCACCTCCGGGGCAGGCGGGAATCGAACTCATGTGGAAGCGGCTTTAGATTCTCAATGCTGTGCTTTAACCTGCTGTGCCACCAGGGAGGGCCCGTAGTGATTGTTTAAAAAATAAATAAATAAAAACTACCCAAATGAATGAGAAACAGAGGTTTAGGGGTGACTGCCAATGACTGTTCTTGATCTGAAAGGTAGGTGTGTATGTTAATTTTCTAAAACTTACCTGGACAGTTCAGTCTATGAATGTGTTACCACAATTTAAAAAGTTATAAAAGGAAGAAAAACAAACCTAAGCCACACTGCCTGAGAGGTCACTGTTGAGTGAAATTATTGATTGAACACAAGTTAGAAACACCTAGCCGGGGCTGTCCCTGCCGCCTACCCAGGGAGCAAATGTCACAGTATCCACCAGCTTTCCTTTCTTGGTGGACATTCATTTTTTCCTTTTCCCATTCTGATTTCAAGATAATAGTAAAAACTAAGCTAAACTGCCCTTAGATTATAAGGTAGGGAATCAGAAGGTTTGGGGAGAGGTGGGGAGGGGGCCGGGTGGGACTGGATGGGAACCAGTAGCTCAATCGCATTCTCTTTTGCTTCTGTGTGAGGTGGGAGCAAGCAGGCTTGTTCCTAAGGTGCCACATGAGCCTAAGAACAAGACACTGTTTCAGAGCGTCTCCTGTCTTTTTTCACTTTCCACAAAGCTGGAGTTAGAATCTATTTTCCACATTGCTACAGAGCAAACATCTAGGATTCACCAACAGTCTCGTACCTGATACACTTGACTTTGTTAAGAGCCAGGCCCCCTCCTCTGATCAGCTCTTGGCTTTCCCTAGCAAATGTCACATCAGAAAAGGTTCACGAATCACAACCTGCTTGTCTTTTGCTTGAGATCAGAAAGTTCATTTCAAAGGATATGAATAAAGGGTTTAATAGTCACAGAGTTGACTTTTGCTATAAAAATACCCGAGTTTATGATTTGGTGATGGGAAGCCCATAGGGATTACAACTGAGATGGAAAAAAGGCACAAAATGATGTAAAAGTAACCTATTATATCAAAATTTAAAAAAAAAATACTGAGTTTAAAATATTTAACTAAAAATGGCAAAAGTAAATTTTGAATAAAATAAATGCAGGCTTACACCAGTAGTCACTAAGATTCCTATTGAGATGGCTTCTTTCAGTGGAATTTTAGTGGCGTCCTTTGTTCCTGTCCAGGGAGCATCTCCAAATATTTGAATCAGCATAACCCGCAGCTTCCTCCCCTCCTCCCCTTAGCGCTCGGGAATGCTAAGGGCCATTACTCTCTGAGCAGCAGCAGCAGCAGATGAGCACTGCCTTCTTCCCTGGGCTTGTTGAGGTTCCGTCACACTCTGGTTTTCCCTGGACAAACAGGCAGCCCGTTGGTCTGAGGCGAGAGGCAAGAAGAAACGACTTAGCACAGCCACAAAACAGCCAGGTAGAGGACAGTTTGCCTAGGCTGTCATTTTTGGGGCCACTGAGAAGCAGTTGAAGGGAAACCCATCTAAGGGGCTGGCAAGTTACTGTCCGGAAAGGCTAAAGAGAAGCCTCATTTGCTGCGGGAGAGAGGAGGAGCCGCCCGAGAGAGGAGCGGTCCCGGGAGGTGCCAGTGCCCGCTGTCTGTGAGTGCCTGCTCTTCTCAGGGATGCCAGGAGCACAGAGGCTGCCCTCCAAGAGCACCAGGGTCCAGCCCAGGGACTCCGCCCCCACTGCCTCTCGGCATCCTAGGCAGAGAATCTGCCAGCTGGCTCTCCTGACTTTCCACAGGAGAGAAGGCTGGGGGACCCACTGGACGGGTAGACCAGCGTGGGGTGTCAGGGAGAAGGTGTGAATTTTGAAGGCAGAATCGAGCATCTGTGACATCTTTGGATAAAGTAATCAAACTCGCCTCCTGGTACATCAGATCTCAGGACTTAGAACTGTCTTGAAGGGTGCGTGAGAGGGCGACACTGAACTTGATCAGAACGTGCACTCTCAGTGCCTAATGCTTACAAGTTGCTCAGTTAGCTAAGTCTTTCTGGCCTGATTTCTGCTGGCTTTCCTCCTTCCTCCATTCATGTCATGACTGTGTTCTTAATTTGTTTTGTTTGCTGCGTTGAAGCAATTCATTACATGTTGCAGCATTTTATTTGTAGTTCGATGAGTCAATTGCCAAGGACTTTAACAAATACATGTTTCTCCCCCCTCCCCCACTCCCCTATTCACCTCTCCATTCATTCCTTGGTTGTTTAATAGTTCTGGGTTCTGTGCACTCTCCATTCAGTAGAAGGTTCCTTGTTGCATGCTGATGTACAAGAAACATGCCAGAATACCTCTCATTTTCACAGCCGTTGACATTTTATCATAACATAAAAAGACAAAAAGATAATTTCTGTGTCAGCATATTGTTTACTACTGAGGAATCACGTTCTGAGTTCTGTATCCAGGGCTCCTGTTCTGTATGGCCTGGAGTAGCCTGGGGCTCCGTGCATGGTCTCTGGATGTTGGGCTAGAGTTTGACTGGGACGGGGGGTGGGGGGAGGGAAGAGGCAACTCTCTGCCCACCAGCAAGGTACTGTGACTTAAAATATTATGCAGGTTACTTTTCTTCTTCACACCTACGTTTTCCTGGTCCATAAAATATGAATAATATGAGCTTAGAGGACTAGAGCTAATGCATGCACAGGGACATGGTTCCTGGCAGGTGAAATCCTGAGGACTATTCCTGGCTTTACTGGGGCTTGAACAGCAGTCAGTCTGGCACCCTGATCAGTAGAGTAATGGGCATGGAAAAGGCAATGCCATTGGTTTCTAGAGGCTTGTGGCCCAGTTGCAGGAAGGACAAGGATCCAGTTTACTTAAATGCAGATACAAAGAGCTGGGGATTTCCAGAAGTGGCAGAGCTGGTGATAAAGAGAGCCCTATTTATTGAGAACTTCCACATTTGGTTCACTGAGTCTACTATCAACCCTTTTTGATACAACACCCACCTGGCATCATCCCCTTCTTATGCATAGGTGACCATCTCAAAGAAGTTAAGCCACATACAACAAAGGTTTAGTAGCACCTGGCCACATCGTGCCAGGAGACCCCTCCTCAGTTCTCACCCTCTAGAAGTAAGAGTGAGAGCCCTCCCCTCGGCGTCCCTGGAGAGCCTCAGCCCTGCGTGGAGAGCTCTCTGGCCTTCTAGACCCTCTCCCTGCTTATATTTGGCAGTTTCTTATCTCACCTTTTGGGTGTTGAGAGAGTAAGTGAATTTCCAGCTATAGGTAACAGGGAAATCCTTCCATATAATTAGGAGCTAATAGAGATAGGATAACTGACAAAGGCTTGGAGAGCCAACTGGGAGGGTGAAAACTCCATCTCCTCCCCTGGCAACCTTCTGTTGTGTTGTGAGCTCTGGGATAGGGGGAATGGGACCGTATATCTTTTGTTTTCTAGAGATGCCATTACCTGATCTGGCACTAGCTTGATAGGAGTGTTTGCTAATGAGATGTAAACTCACAGGCAATAGTGTCCCAAGGCAGATGCCCACTGTGTGGAGGAGTAAAAGAGAGGGGGTGGGGAGATGGTTCATGATCATTCTTTCTAGAGAGGGATTGAAGCCTGGACATGGGCCTCGATCATGGGCTCTCTTTGCTTCGGTGAATCAGTGTTCTGGGAGCCCCACTCAGAGGCTAGGTTGGAGCTGTCCCAGGATTGAAGTGGGGCACAACCACCAGCCATTGTGGAAGAAAAATCTGCTGGGTGTAGGTGTCATGCTAGATATTCCTGGGAATGCAGAAATCTCCCTTGTCCTTATTCTCCAGGCAGGTATAGTGGCATAGTGGTTAATAATGTGGTCTCCAAACTCTGACTCCCAGGAGTCCTTGTATCTCTATTCCTCATTGTGTGATCTCAGACAGTTTTCTTTTCCACTCTGTGCCTCTATTTTCTCATACACTTGAGAATATGAACTGCAACTTTCTCGCAGATTTCTGGTAAGGATTAAATGATACATGTAAAGCTTTTTAGCTCAGTGCCTAGCCCATAGTAAATATTCAATAAATTTTACTTCTTATTGCTACTACTAGTACATCCACTGAAGTTTGGTTGGGAGAAATAAGATACAAGAGTATTAATATCTCATGCAGTAACTCAGGGTGCAGTATGTATGAATTTTTATTACCTATTAGAATGTGTTAGAATGTACTTGCACATAAACTGCACAAGGTTGGTGATTTGTACAGATGATCCATGACTTACGGTGGGTCAGTGCAAAGTAATAAGCCAATTTAGACTGACACCAGATAGGTGCGTTAAATACAGTTGCAATTTCAAATAGGTTTGTTGAGACATAACCTGTGTTAAGTCCAGGGAAGTCTGTATTCATTGTTGTTTGTGGTGGTATTCTCAGTACCTGGAATTTAGTTAACATCCAGTAAATATCTGTTGAGTCAATGATGACAAAGCCAAGCTCTTTCCTATCTCAGGGTCTTTGCACATGTTCTTCCCTTTGCCTGACATGCTGTTCCCTAAATTTTTCTTCTCTTAAGTCTCTTCTTATGCTGTGGAACACTTCTTCAAAAGTACCTCATCATGGACCCACCCATATCCTAATCCAAATTGTGTCATTGACTGTTTTCTCTCTCGGACTTCAAGTTCTTTTCCTTACACTACCTTTTATAAGCCGCAGTTGCACCTCTATGTATGTTTATCCGATCTCTGCCTCTTTCACAGGAGTGCAAGTTGCAGCAGCACCCAGGACATGAGGGGTGGGAATGGGTCTTATCCATCGATCTCAGACCCTCTGTGGGGCCAGGCAAGCAGCAGCATCGAGTAAATCCTGGCGGAATGAGCGTGTTTAGAGGGAGCACAGAGCGGGCAGATGGGACAGGGGTGGGTGTTGCTAGTCTCCATTCATCTGTAAAACTGAGAGGAAGATACTACTTGCCCTCCTTGACCAGTGATCAGGGTAAATAAGATCAGTGCTTGAAAAACACGTGTTCGTTTATTTACTCATTCACACACGGAGCCTGCTCTGATTGCGCTCCAGCAATGTGCCCAGATGGGAGGGGGCCTCAGGGATTTTCACCACATCTGAGTGATGAGCTTCCCACGGCTGGGAGTGTTTTCTCTTCAAATCCCTGGTGCCAGTACCTCCCAGGACTCATTAAGTATTTGAGGAGTGACCCAGCAACAAAGGCACCCATAGGTGGCTGAAATGGACGCGTGGAATTCAGGAAGGGTGAGGGATTTGAGGTAGTGAGAGAAGCCGAGGCGGTGACAGAGAGGCGATGAAACTTAGGCTGCTTTTTTATACTTAGCTATTGTTCCACTTGGCCAGTGTGCTTTGTGGAGAGGGTGTTTATACAGTTCTCAGAGGACAAGCACTCGGTGGCTTCTTGCAGGCGTTCTTTATTTCCTACCTTGCAGTGCCCACTTTTGGTAATAAAGCACAGTTAGTATAAGACTGATATCTAAGTGTAAGCCCTTAAAAGTGTCACTGAATTCTTTCCCCTGTTTACCATATAGCTTCTCTCTGGTGGCATCTCCTCAGACTGACCCCACCTCTGAAGGAGACCCCCAAAAGCATCCTGGTTAGCTTTATGCCTTGTAAGTGGAGCAAATCATTAACATCACGCTCTGTCCCCTCCCCAGTTCCATGGCCAGCAGGTCAGGGCTCTTCCAAAGAAAGCTGGCTAATTATATCCCGTGTCTGAACAGATTCCCACAAGAGGAGCAAAGGAGCGACGTACAAATGGAGCTGGGGAGGGGCAGGCACCGCCAGCTTTTAGCATGGGGGGAAGTGGCTTTTGAGGATTTGTTCTCTCAGCCCCCCTCTCCCTGATTCAAGTGGAACTAGCAGCTGCCCTCGCTTGCTTGTTCGCTTGGTGTGTGAGGCTGTGGCGCTGTGCTAGATCCAAAGATTTTGCAGTCAGAGGAGTGATAGGAAGCCTCAGCACAAAGGGAAACAGGCCAGGAGGCTGGATGCTGGCTAGGGATCAGGCCGCTGAAGTTGGAGGAGGCTTGTGGCCAAGTGGCAGAGCTGGTGGCTGAATTCTTGCCACATCCCATCTGCTTGCTGCTTCTCCTTCCCCTTCGCCTTGACCCCATTGACTCTCCTCTCTCAGTCCGTTCTAGGACATAACTCTGTTCTTTACCTCCCTTACTCCCTCCCCCCTCCAAGTCAGGCTTTGTAGGGAGACAGCCAGAGTACAAAGGCCTAGGCATTCTGTGTTATTTTTCCCTAGGGTGAAGGGCTCCCTAACCCGGCACTGGGGGAGGACTAAAATTCATGGTCTCATCCACAGACGGACGCCGAGAAGCACTCGCAGGTGGAGAGAAGCTCCCTGTGGTCTGGTGATGATGTCAAGAAGTCAGACGGAGGCTCAGACAGCGGCATAAAGATGGAGCCAGGGTCTAAGTGGAGGCGGAATCCCTCTGACGTGTCTGACGAGTCTGACAAGAGCACTTCAGGCAAGAAGAACTCTGTCATCTCGCAGACAGGCTCCTGGCGAAGAGGCATGACAGCGCAGGTGGGCATCACTGTGCCAAGGACGAAGCCAGCCACCCCCGCAGGCACGTTGAAGACCCCCGGAACCGGTGAGTCAGACCTGCTGTCCCGAATGCACAGCTGTCAGTTGGGAAACCAAAACCGGAGTCACTCCAGCAAGGACTTGATGTTGTTTTTAAGGCCCCAAAAATACTGGGGTATTTCCTCTTCAGGTTTAGACTGTGCTGGGGCCAGCTTTTGTCGTGGACACTTGTACACGTGTGAGTTTCTTGAACTCTGAAGACGTTTCATCTGCTAGGGAGGATTGAGATTGGTTTGATCATGTGCTGGGGAAGAGCTAATATGCCCAATGCACGTACTGGCAAGGGCACATGTTTCTGAACTAGTTGAGTTGATGTTGTCCTTGATTGGAAATAAGGACAATCTCTGCAGGGAGGGAGGTAGGGGTTGCCCCTCGAGATGTTAGGGGCAACTTTTTAATGGACAAAGAAGGAAAGGTCTGTAAAAGGCAAGAACTCTTTACCAGATGTATCAGTGATTGACTGGCTTTCCTATACTCTGGGTAAATTTAGACTACTTTGCAACTGCATAAAATCATTGACATCACCTAAAAGGCTAATTATCTTTATAAAGAGCTCTTTTCTCAGCCTCCCCTGGGCACTGCTTTCCCCAAGGACAAACTGAGTCTGTTCTTTGGAGGAAGGGAGAATTTTAAACAGATTGAGCTGGATGAGCTGGCTTCTTGGTCTGCAGGCTAACTTTGCTTATTTTTCTCTAAGGAAAAACAGATGATGCAAAGGTATCTGAGAAGGGAAGGCTGTCTCCCAAAGCCTCTCAGGTGAAGCGCTCTCCATCCGATGCTGGCCGCAGCAGTGGTGATGAATCCAAAAAAGCCCTTCCCAGCAGCTCCAGGGCGCCTACCGCTAATGCCAACAGCTTTGGGTTCAAGAAGCAGAGCGGCTCGGCCGCTGGTCTGGCCATGATCACAGTCAGCGGGGCCACTGTCACCAGCAGATCAGCCACTCTAGGCAAAATCCCAAAGTCGTCTGCACTTGTCAGTCGGTCTGCTGGTCGGAAGACGAGCATGGATGGGGTTCAGAATCAGGATGATGGCTACCTGTCTCTCAGCTCCCGGACAAACTTACAGTACCGGAGTTTGCCAAGGCCCAGTAAGTCCACCAGCCGGAATGGAGCTGGGAACAGGTCTAGTACCAGCAGCATAGATTCCAACATCAGCAGTAAGTCAGCAGGCCTGCCGGTGCCCAAGCTGAGGGAGCCTTCCAAAGCGGCCCTCGGTAGCTCTCTCCCAGGTCTGGTCAACCAGACAGATAAGGAGAAAGGCATCTCGTCGGACAATGAAAGCGTGGCTTCTTGTAACTCAGTGAAAGTGAATCCTGCAGCCCAGCCTGTGTCCAGTACTGCTCAGACCACTCTCCAGCCAGGGGCTAAGTACCCTGACGTGGCCTCTCCCACGCTGCGCAGGTAAGCAGGTCCATCATGCTACGTGAGACTGGAATACATGGAATGGCATCCTGGATTAATATTTTCTTGTTTCTTAGCTCAGGTGGCCTCTGTTTTTCTCTGCCTTAGTTCTAGAATAAATCTTTAGTCAGCTCCTGCTAGCAATTTTGCAGTCCACTGCTTATTTTTCCATGTTGGGATGAGGAACAAAAACCTCTGGAATCAATCACTCTGAGCCCACCTTAATATTACCATATAACCTTTCCTAACAATTCTGCCTCAGTGAAATGAGGATAATGATACTTATTGGAAAGCACCAGTGAAGGTTAATCTGTAACTACATCTGGCCCATAGTAAGTCCTTAATAAAAGTTAGCTACCATCCAATATCATGTCAATTCTGTGACCAAGATTCTTCATGTTTATGTCAGTGATCTTGGCCAGAGTTTTTGTTTTTTTTTTTTTGTTTGTTTGTTTGTTTTTTTTCCAAATAGCTGAGTATCCCTGACTTACTTTTTATTCTGCATGCATTATTCCAAATTAGCCTCTGAAATTTTAGCTTCCTTAAAAAAAGAGAAAACTTTAACACATTAGTGTTTCTGAAGAAAAAAGAGGAATTGATGTCTTCTTACCTTTAAAAGGTATTTTCTAGCATCCCCAAGCTGGATGGAAATTTTTAATGGGCAAATATTAGTATTCACTATTTTTAAAATTTCTTTTCAATTTATATAACTTTCGCTGTTTTGCTTCGTATTATCACATAATGTCTCATAATATCCATCAACTCCATGGGAATGTCCTCCAGTTGGAATGAATAGCTCATCTGCAAATGTCTTGCTATAGGAAAGAGTAAGTCGCAAGGGTGGAAAATTGAGGAGTGAAAAAATAAAAATGATGTGCACACAGACATATTTGGGGATGAAAAGGAATGTTTGAAAAAACTTCAGAACATCATTCCTCATGAAAGGTATAATGAAGCAGTTGCTGTTCTTTGCCTAGACTTGATTATTAGAATTTCAGTAATGATTATTTCAGGGAAAGGTCTTATTGGGCTACTCTTTGTTGTTTTAACAATTTGCCTTGTAAGTGAACATTTTCTCTGCTTCTTACCTCAAGTATTATGTAATATGCACTCCTTGGTATTATAGATTTCCTTTAGTAACTACAAAGGCATTTTACTAGACCCTTAGGCTAATGAATGGAATAGTTGAAAATGCATGCAGCTTCTAGGCTCTCTGTTGAGCACCCTTCAGCCAATTCCTGGTAATTGCATTTTTCCTAAATCACTGAGGTATTCTCAATTTTCCTTTTTTTTTTTTTTAAAGATTTATTTATTTATCATACAAGAACTGGGCTACAGGCCAGAGGTATGGGGGTGAAAGGATTCACCAGAGACAGAGTGGGGAGCAGAACAGGTAAATCTACTGAAACACACTGCTGAAGGGAGCAGCAGGCAAGACAGGAAGGTCTGCCACGCCATGTGGGTCACCTCCCTTGCTGGGGATCCAACTTGTGCTGCAGTGGCTGCAGACAGCTTCATAGTGCTGTGCTTTAACCTGCTTCACCACCAGGGAGGGCCTGGTGTTCTCAATTTTCTTGTGTATTAGTTTGGAGAAGAGAAATCTTAGATGAAGTGAGACAGCTCTCTTTGATTTGAAGGACTAGCAGAAAAACTTTTTATGTGCATCCAGATTAGTAAAAAAATCTAAAAGTCAGAAGAAGATAGATTGGATTTTTATTTTCTAACAATTGGAAGTGTTAGGCAATGGAGCCAGTTTCCAGTTGAAGTAGTGAGGTCCTTGTCACTGGAAGTATGCAAGTATTTTTTTTAATTGCAAAATTAAAGTATGCAAGTATTTAAAGCCAAGATTCTACAGTAGGATATTTCAGTTTTTGAATGTCACTAGGCAAAAAGTGTTTCTTATCTGCTACCAGATATTCCAGGGCAGATTGGTTATGTGTGTATTTGTTTCTACAATATTACGACATATAAGGACTGTTTAGAGATATCAGTTGCATACCATTCTGAGTAGCTGATGAACGGCAGCCTGCAGCAGTAGTTTCATCACTTTTCAGGGGTACCTATTCTGCAAGGATATTAGTGGAGGGAGTCACCTACATTAATAGAGCCTGTCACACCCCCTGACTTTAAGACAATTCTGCCATCCTACCAGAGAGCACTCTACCAACAGAATAGAGTCATCTGTGCCATTCTCTATTTTGATGGCCCATTTTTGGTCATGAGCAAGGGGACATGACATTTAGAATGACATTTCTGTGTCTCTGTCACAAACAGTTTCACGCCCTGTGTGTCTGGACTGACATCTGGTGGACCTAGCCAGATTTTGTGTGTATCTTCAGGTAGTCTTAGCTCTGGCGTCCTAAAAGACACATCTTTTAGCTTGAACTCTCCCTTGAGGATAAATCTGTGGAGATACTTTTTCCAGGTCCCATCCAGATCTAGATTCCCATTCTTGATTCTACATGTTGTACTGAGGGATCAAAGAAATCAGATTGCTTGGAGTTAGACTGTCATAAACGTGCCTGCTTTGTGCCTGGGGGTCATGAATACGAAGGTGATTAAGACAACTCTTCTCCTTCTCCATGTTTTCTGGGCCAGGGCTCTTTGCTAGTCAGTCTATTTATGGAAAGAAAGGGAAGCAGGATCTTGGACCAGCATGGATAGTTACTCTCTGGTTCAGATAGAGCCAGGGGTTCACAGCAGCCTGGAATTTGAAGCTGGGACCTTATGATAATCTGCATGCTGGCACACTGTGTAGCCAGCTTTCCTGAGGGAGTGCCGTTAGCTGTTTCAGGAGGCATGCTGTGTGTCCATCCCCAGAGAACCTCGGTACACCAGTTTCTGTGTCGCCCCTCCCCCACTTTAACAGCTTGGGCCCCCACTTTACCCCACAAAACCCTTTGTCTCTTCACAGACTCTTTGGTGGGAAACCTAGCAAGCAAATGCCCATCGCCACAGCTGAAAACATGAAAAACTCAGTGGTCATCTCCAATCCTCATGCCACCTTGACCCAGCAAGGTAACTTAGAGTCTCCCTCGGGCAGCGGCGTTCTGAGCAGCGGGAGCAGCAGCCCTCTCTACAGTAAGAATGTGGATATCAACCAGTCTCCTCTAGCCTCCAGCCCCAGCTCAGCCCACTCAGGTCCCTCCAACAGCCTCACCTGGGGCACCAACGCCAGCAGTTCCTCAGCAGTTAGCAAGGACGGCCCTGGCTTCCAGTCCGTCAGCAGCCTCCACACCAGCTGTGAGTCCATTGACATCTCCCTGAGCAGTGGAGGGGCACTGAGTCACAATTCCTCCACGGGCCTCCTTGCCTCCTCTAAGGACGACTCCCTGACGCCCTTTGTCAGAACCAACAGCGTGAAGACCACACTGTCGGAAAGGTTGGTGCTGTGCGCTTGATTAGTGGCCTTCACCTCTCAGAAAGACCCTTCCCAAGATTCCAAAGATCACGTAGGAACCCCCAAGGTTAACTGACCTGTGCCTGGAGGACTTCTTGTTAATCCCTGCCATCTTTCTGCGGGGAGCCAGTTTGGGATGGAATTAAACTTGGCTCTGCTTCCTGTTATCTTTTTTACTGTGGTTACTCTCAGGGCTTTGGAGCTGCAGGAAGATTCTAGTCCGATTCCACCTTTGAAACCCTTCCATTTTATTCTTTCTGTTCATCAACGGCTTTTTTCCCTCTCCCCTGGTCACTGTGAGGGCAGAGAAGGAAGTCGGCTATGGCCCTGGAGGGTAGGGCAAGATGCTTTTAGACAGCTGGGTCAGTTTGGCAGTCACCTGGCAGACACCTTCCTCCCCAGGGCTGCTGTCCAGAGGTAGGAAATGGAGAAAATAAGTGTCCTCGGGACTGTGCATTTCACTGCTGTAGGGGTGTGTCCAGTTCCTCTCCCTAGGGAAGCAAGCGAGGTTTGTCAGCAGCGAGAAGAGAACATGTCCTAATCGTTGTGTATAACAGCACCTCCCTTTCTTCCAACCTAATGTTCCTTCTCTTGTTTTCTACCTGCCTGGACTTCTAGCCCTCTCTCTTCCCCTGCCGCTAGCCCTAAGTTCTGCAGAAGTACTCTGCCCAGGACACAGGACAGGTAATGACCTTGTAGGCTGGGGACCCCGCCGAATCTCTAGTATCTCTGTCCATCTGTGTCAAGCCAGATGTTTTGTGTGAGGCTGTTGGCCTGAGGCTTCTGCTTGTGTTTGTGGCTCCAGTGTACTCTGTGACCCCACTACCCCGGCCCTGGACATGCCAGTGAGGTCCGTTTTGCTGTCCACTAAAGCCTGGGAGAGGTGGAGCTGGACTGGCCCCTCCCTTGCCCATTTGGGAAGGAACCTCCAGTCCTGCCACTTGAGCTGGGGCGGCAGAAGCCCTCACTTGCATGCCAGCCTTCCTGTGGCATGCTCCTGCTTCCTAGCTGCCCCCTTTCTGCACCCCCCACCCCCCAATTGAGTATTGCTCTACCACCCACCGTGCAGTTTGGCCCTCACCTCTGTCTCTCTGCTCCTCGTTTCCCACGCAGCTGGCTCTTCTTCCTCTCAGAATCCCATGCTGCTGTTTGGCTCATTATGTCTTGCAGGCTGTTGTGTTCTGTGTGCCCTTTTCCTGTAAAGATCACAGAAAAAAAAAATGGGGAGTGCTGAGGCTTTACCGACGAAGAGACTTGTTTGCCCCCAGCTGTCCTGTGGGTGGGCCTCAGAGATGGCTATTGACCTTAAATTTGTGGGGGAGCCATAGCTTGGCCAAACATAACAAGCTGATGTTGCTTCATGCTTGAAAAAAAAAAAAAAAAAAAAAAACCTTCGTCACCCCATCAGCAGCAAAATCTTCGTTTTTGTCAGACTCCCAGACCGAACCTTTGCACCCTTGTTCCTTGGCAATCTGAATGCCTTGACTTTATCAGCCAGCAAGTTGCAACATGCCCCAGCTGAGGCCCCAGGGCTCGGCTCCTCACCGTTCAGTGCAAGGGCTGCAGAAACTGCGAGGGACCTGGAATTCACTCGTTACAGATGAATTTCAAATATGCAGCCTGCTGGCCTCTTGAAACCCTCCACCGAGTCCCTTCTCTCACTTGAAGTCTTTGCCAGTGGCATTTGGGGGTGGACCTGAGTTAAGGGTGCCAGGAAGCTGGCATCTCTCTCTTCTGGAGAAGCAGTGGTGGTGTAGAGATGGGCGACCGGGCAGCAGAAAGCGCAGACTCTGCATGGAGGTGGGGCCACCCCTGAGTTTTACTCTGAACTTGTGGAAAAGGAGAAACAGTTGGGGTTAGGTGGCTCAGACCTCCTGGTGACTTGGGGTAACGTATGTACTGGTGTCAGCACCGGCCAAGGCTGGGATTTCTCTTGTCCCTGAATGTGTTGCATGTGCGGCTGAATGAGGGAGCCCTCTGGTGAAGTGCGTCTCTGCAGGTGTCTTTGCCTTCCTCAGCCTCTCCCTCTTCACCCTGCCTGCTTTTCTCTCTGCTGCGCTCAAGTTCTCATTTTTGTTTTGACTTTCCTACAGTGACCCGCACCTTGATAGGAACACTTTGCCTAAGAAAGGACTCAGGTATCTGTGTTTCCTTCTTGCATCTGTGCCACGTGGTGTGGCTTTGGGGTATGGCTGTGTGGCTCTCTCATGGCTGGTGGGGGTTCGGGCTGGACTGGGTTCCCGCTTTGGCCACCGCACAAGGACCTTTGGGACGTGGGGCTCCTCACACTTGCTCCTCATCTTTCTGTTTGTTGGCTTATTTGCTTGAGCAGAGGCTGTGCTTTTTCAGGCTGAATGTGGTAAAACCACCTCATGAAAAACACCCCAAGGCAAACCCAGGAGCAGTTACTGCTGCTTCTGGGCCCAGTGAGTCTAATTGCCGAGCTCTTCACCCTGACCATTCTGTCCACGGCTGTCTTCTGAGAGAAAGGATGTGACTCGTAGCATGTTGACTTGTCGGCCAGGATGAAAACAAAGGAGAGAAACATTTCCCCCAAATTTGAACCTTTGGTCCATAGAAAATTGTTAAAGCTATCTAAATTGTGCCTGTTGAAGTAGAATCAACAGTTGGGTCCTTTCCAGTGCCCAATAAGACGTGGATATGATCAGTTTTTGAACGAAAACGAGAAAAGACGGCCAGGGAGGAGTGTCCTTTCCTGCGCTCTAAGTCATGCTTGGGCTCATTTCTGGTGCTAGTCCTGGTAACACAAGATGCTAGAAGTCACAACTGCTTATGCCATCAACTTCACTTTGCCACCCAGAGGAACTTTCGAGCTTATGCCTGCCCATGATTGTCATGCCTGGTGGTGCAGCTGTTACGTGTCCTGCTCTCTAAGTACCTTGTCTCTGTAGCATCGGCTTCACCCTGCGCTAAAGCATTCAGTGCTTTTGCCAAAATATGGAACTTGGAATGAAATGTTTCGTTACTGTCGTGTATGTCTGTAGTTAATAACCTGTGGCTCTTGGGCTGCAACCATTTTGTACAGTAATGGGAGGTAGGTATCAAAGCTTCCTATCAATAGGAGCGCCTACGAAACTTCTAAGAATCTAAGAATAAAATTACTGAAACTTCCCTCAGCAGATGTCCTGTAGGAGAGAGTTCAGCTGGGTGACCTGTGAAGGGGGAATTGGCAGAGCCTGTAGTATTGAATAGTTTGTGTTATGCCTGGGGCGGCTGCTTGTCTGTATCCATCGTCAAGGCTTCTGTGGTGATGGCTCTTTTTTTTTTTTTAACACAGTAATTTTTAATGAATTTACTTAATTTATATTTTTTAAATGAATAATGTAATAGTTTATTTTTACATCATTTTGTGCATTTTTCCATCTCAGTTGTAATCCCCTTGGGCTTCCCATTCAGCAAATCACTCATGTGCCAGGGATGGTTCTTAATATGAGTGTGACTGTGATGCCCCACCATTGTCCCTAGGCAAAGCTACTGTCTCTAAATATTAACAATTCAAAATGCTGTTTGTATTTCAGAAGCAGACCTAGCCTATCAAAGTCATGAAGCTCTGACTTTTAAAAGAATTCAAGATAGGGATATGTGATAAGCTGTCTTTAAGCACCCAATGACTTAGAGGCTGACTGTCCATCCCATTATAATAAAAACATTCAGAAATCTTTTTGTTCCCTCTCATACTGACCCTCCCATCCATCATGCCTTCTGATACACACATCTGATACACCAACAACACCTTTTTTGAAACCAAAAGAAACCTTCTATTTTTATAGTCTGCCATCACCCCATGATTATCTGTTTATAATCCAAGGGTACTCTGACCACTTGGGCAGGCACTTAAGAAATTACAGTTGCTGCTGTGAGTATGAGAAGAGGGTGGATTTGGAAGTCAGACACAGGTGGGGTGATATCTGGGCTTGTGACTGGAGGCAGACCCGCCTCACCTTCCCTGAGCGTAAAATGGCGATAGCGGTATCGGCACTGCTGGTGGGTCTGAGGCGTCAGCACGATGTCCGTGAAGGCACCCAACTCACTGCAGACACTCAGCACATCATTACCAAATAAGTCAATTCAGAATAAATAACACACTTTCTGGAGACTCTTCCTTCCCTGTATGAAAGCAGTGATTTGGGGTTCCTTTTGTGAAGACTCGTTCTTGCTCAGTGAAGCAACTACTGTAAGCACTGATGTCCTCACACCCCCTTTCCCTGCCTGGCTTCTGAGATGCTGTGATTCATGGCCACCTATTTGTGCACTAGAACATGATGCCTCAAGTTATCTAATTAAAACATCCTCAGAGCTCTAGCAGCAGCTCGTTTTATTGCTTCTGTCCTGTCAAGGTGGGGGCTTTGACATGACACTGTCGTGAATCAACATGTTACAAATACGCCCAGTGACGGTTCTTTTGAGCTTTCACCAATCTTGCTCTCTTGATGGATTTCCCTCCAAAGTAAAAAGGCATTTTAATTTTCCCCAAAGGCAGCTAAGTAGCAAAAAAGGTTTTGAGAAACTTCATAAGTTGCAGGGTGTGGAGTGATCTAATTTTTTTTTTTTACATCATCTTTGGATGTATATTTTCTCTTCATATGTTTATCATCAGCCCCACAGAGTTGATGATTTCCACAAGTGTTGTTTGTAGCTAATCCCTGCTGTCCCCTGTCTGTCCAGGTATACTCCCACCTCCCAGCTTCGCCCACAAGAAGATGCAAAGGAATGGTTACGGTCTCACTCTGCGGGCGGCCTGCAGGACACCGCCGCCAATTCTCCTTTCTCCTCTGGTTCCAGTGTAACTTCTCCCTCAGGAACAAGATTCAACTTCTCCCAGCTTGGTGAGTTTCCTTTAGCTGTGTTGCTCTGCTCCATAGGATAGACATTATCTTATATTTTGAAAGAGACATGTGGCTCCATCATGCTCAGTATCTGATCGTCCCTCAGCAATATAGTTTATTTATAGGTGATTTGTAGCAAAAGAAACAGAGAACATAGAAAAGGTTTTGGTACTCTTTTCAGCAGTTTGCTTTAGCTGTTTGATCTAGATAGGCTCAGTGTACAGAGATGCGAGCCATTCTATTCTTGAGAAGCTTGTGTTCTATTTCTATTTGGTTATCCTCCCTGCTTTATTTCTTTTTTTTTTTTTTAAGATTGATTTATTTCTGCATACAAGCACTGGGGTACAGGTCAGAGGTGTGAGGGTGGGAGATTTCACCAGAGACAAAGTGGGAAGCAGAACAATCAGATCTACTGAAATATACTGCTGAGGGAACAGTGGGGTGGGTCATGCTATGTGGGTCACGTCCCTGGCTGGGATCAAACCCGTGCCACAGTGGCTGCGGAGTGCTTCATAGTGCTGCGCCTCAACCTGTTGCACCACCAGGGAAGGCCCCTCCCTGCTTTATTAAGCAGGAAATAAAAATCAGGTTTTAATCAGAGAAGTATTCTTGGAAATGCCTACTACTGACATAGTGGGGAAAGGGAAAGAACTTGTACACTTCTGGCTGACTTGTCAGTGAGTGCCTTTTTAAAGAGACAAACACACCTACACAAACTTGTAAATGGGGTAAAAGAGAACAGTCAAAAGTTACGTATGAAACCATGCAAGAACAGAATGTGATCAGATAGCCAGTGTTCTATACAGTTGTAAACAGGCAAGATCAGTCCTGGCTGGAATTATGGGGGAGTTTACATACAGGCGGCAGGGTGGGAGCTGAGCCTTGGAGACGAATAAGAGGAGACATAATCTTTCCAGTCTCCTATTGCTCTTCAGAGAGGTAGCCCTTTCTGAATATGGCGAAAATAAACTAAGGGTCTTAAAAGACAGGTGTGGTTTGTAACTGAGTAAGACTTGACTCTTCATGTTCAATTAACCAAGTAGCTATTTGTGAAAATTGTACATTACTACGATTTTAATAAGACACCCAGTTTTGACTGAAGTCGTGAGCCTGTCCCCCTGCACTGATCCGCTCGAAGCCTCCAATATGAAATGCTTCCCATCTGCAGCCATGAGGCCAGTGTTCACAGTGTTCTTTCCCAGCCGTAACTCTTTGAGGCAAGAGTTTCTTGTCATGCACAAATGCTTCCCATCTGATCAAAAGCCCGGTTGAACTATTTTGGGCTTTTGGCTTTAGAGAGAATTGTTCCAGATGAGCCTGGGGAGTAATTAGCTCATCATGCCTGGAAGGTGACACTAGCTTGTCTGAACGTGCCAAGTTGCAAAGCTGAGGCCCAGAGCCTTGCTTTGGAACTGACCCACCTTTCGTTCCTTATTTTTAGCTCTAAATGTAGAACTCAAATGCTGATGTGACTACCTTGGAGAAGATAGACAAGGGAGAGAAGTTGGCAGGGATGGATATGGCTGATGACAAGCCGTCACCTCTTTGTCCCCATCCAGGATTTGACGTGAATTTCCAACCTTCTGATTCTGTTGCTTTCATTGCAGCGAGCCCCACCACTGTCACCCAAATGAGCTTGTCCAACCCGACCATGCTGAGGACGCACAGCCTCTCCAACGCCGATGGGCAGTATGACCCATACACCGACAGCCGCTTCCGGAACAGTTCCATGTCCCTGGATGAGAAGAGCAGGACCATGAGCCGTTCGGGCTCATTCCGGGATGGGTTTGAAGAAGGTAAGAAGGAGACACAGCGTCTCTCGGTTACATGGTGTGGTTAACGGTCCTCGATGCCAGGTTTACTCTGCTGACCTCAGAAGCCCACCTGCAAGTGCTTGCAGCTCTCCCACTTCCTTGGGCATCAGGGCTGGAGATCTCTGAGTGGTAGGGTCTGGCTTTCAGTGAACCTCAGAGGACTTCAGGGAAAAGGCTACTGAAAAAACACTGATGAACCTTATAGAGCTGACCGAGTTGGGCTCTAGACTCCTCTCCTTGGCCTTGGGCCATGGTTTCTTGGCATGCACCTCCATCTTGAGGTTGAGCCTCTGGCTCACCGTCTTGGCAGCGGGTTACTGGAGAGTTCATTTCCCTGTGCTGACAGTGTGGCCGCGCCTCTGCTCTGCTCTGCTCCAGACTTTTCTTTTTCTTTTCTCAAGTCCAGCCTTTTACCTTTACGGCATTCAGTTATGCCATTCTCCTTCTTTGTTCATTAGTGGAATATTTTGGAATATTTGGAGTTGATTTTATTGTTTCGTTCATGTTAATCAGAATTTTGGAGAAAAATTCTGTGGACAACTTTCAAAGTCAGTTGCCTAGTTTGATCCATTTCTCTTTCCCTTTGTTCACTTCTTTCAAAGTGTGAGTTAGGGGAGCAAACTGCCAATATGTTGTGGGGAGACATCACCTCCAACCCCAAAAGCCTCCCGGCAATGGGGCTGATAGCCTGCAGGCAGAAGCACTCACTGATAACCGCTTAAGAACATGAAGTGACACTACCTGGTTTGAATTCCTGCTCCGCTCCTCCTAGGTATACAATCTTGGCAAGGTATTCACCAATCTGTGCCATCATTTTTCATCACTAAACTGAGAAAAGTAATAGTACCCAGCCAGAACGACGAGAATTAAATGAGATAATGTATAATAGTGTTAACTCAGTCATGCCGTTACGCATGCATCAGCCCAGCTTCAGCTCTGGTGTCAGGCAGCCTGAGGCCACCAGAGCAAGGGGACTCTTGAGCGAAGGGAGCCCAGGCCATGTCCCAGTTGTGCTCCTTTTTGCCAGCTCCAGAACAGAATGTGGGAGGGCACTCCTAGGTGCTTTCTCCTGCTCCCAGCTGCAATGAGAGTAGGGAAATTTGCCCAGCATTGTTGCTGGTAGGAAAGAACAAAGTTGCCACTATTTAGGAAATCCCTCAGTAAATCAAGGGGGAAAGAAATACAGGATATAGGCTTCTGCTTTTGCCCTTACATTCTTTTCCTATAACTTTTGAAGAGTTTAGTTACAGAGCTCTTAGTCCCTGGGTAATCTTCCTAGTGACTTAATTCTCTCCACCCTAATTTATGTATCATTTGTATCCAGTGACATCCAATGAGCAGACTCAAGTCTGTAAATCCATATATGGGAAGCTGCTAGGAGATGAGATTATAGGGGGGGTGGCGGGAGGTGGAGCCTGTGTTACTGAGAGTCTTTGGATGGATTTAAGAGCTAAAACATAGCACTAGAACCACGTAGAGCAGCAACAGTGGAAGCTGTGTAGACCCCAAGGTGAAGGAGTAGGGAGTTTGTCTTGCACTGCTGGGAGTCGGTGTTCTAGCCAGGGTGGTCCCGGAGCCTGCCCCAGCCTCCTGGCGATGACCCACACGTCTCACCTGTGGCATGTGTACCCGAGCGCACCCCACTCAGTACTAAAACTTGTCCAAACCAGTACATTTCACCTCATAAAGGTCCCGACCATTACTGTGTCATCATCAGGTAGCTGTTCTTTATTCCATCTGCAGTCAGCATAACCGTGGCCTATCTGGGAGTCAAAGTGAGACTGATACAAAGTGCTTGCCCACAAGCAGTGACTAGACTGTTGTAAAGGTAGAGATTCATGGTGAGCATGGAGGTAAGAAGGAGTAAGAGAGTCAGATTGTGATCATTGCAATAGAAACAGGACATTTTCATCTTTTGAGGAGACTGGGCATCTTCTATTTTACTTATTCCAAGCTATTAAGTTACACAGATGAACTAGGACTTCGTCGATTAGGTATTTTTAATTCCAGTGGAGGAAGACTTTTCTTTTTGAATATATAAGCTCCCTGTATTGCAGAAACGCTTTAGGGGGGCTCAGGGTGGGGAGAGGGAGGGTAAGTACAGAAGGAATCACATGTCACATTTGGACCAAATAGAACCTTCCTTGTAAGAATCAGTTAGGCTTTTTTCTACACCAGCAAGCAGAATGCAAATTTGAGAAGAATTAGAACAAAAGTACTTGTGTGAAGTTTTTGTGGTATTAGCACTTTCCATGTTGAAGGCATTGGGAATCCTAAATATGTAGATGAGGTACAGGTATGGCCCAGATGTGGCCTTCCAAAGTTATTTCAGCTAAATTAATTTCCACCTGAGCTATTACGCAACTGTAGAATCAACTCGAATAGCATGCATTTTGAGGATGCTTGAGACATATTGAAAATGGATGTCTTTGTAGGGAAAATAATCCAGCGACTATAGTAATCATCCCTCAGAGTTGGTACAATCTAAATCAGTACAGATGGAACCCACAGGAGCAGAGCAGCCTATTAATAAAGAATTCTTGTATTGCACTTGAGTTTCTAGTCACCAAGTTATCGTTGCGGTTCAAAAACCTGGCCTCTCACTTTGAGCCATGTGACTCAGAGTAAGGGAGTTGACCCTGCTCAGCCTATTTCCTGTTCACTAAAATGTGGAAAATTATGGGGCCAGCTTTGAGGGATTGGAATGAAGATTAAGTGAGATAAGTCCTGTAACAAACACACTTAGCAAAATGACTTTGAAAAGGGCTTATAGTAAGTACTCACTCAGTGGCAGTTGCTGTTTCTCCCCAAGGGCATTTCATCCCCAGTTTGTTTATGGCAAAATTCGAGGCAGAAGTGACTTGAGGACTTTATGCAACCAGGACTAGGTCTTAACCTCGTGATTCCCAGCCCTCTGTTTCCGCACTTAATCCTACATTGACACTTGGCTCTTTGATGGTCACAGCCTGGCTTTCTTACCTGTCTGAGGTCAGCAGTGTGTCCCCTGTTATCTGTTGTGCTTCCTTTGCTGGCTGAGCGGACTATCCATCAGCCATGAGAACTGTATCTCACTCCCATTGGCTGCTCTCCCAGAAGCAGTGGTAGAATGCAAACTGGTGGATGATGCCTCTGACCCCCTTCTGGAATTGCTGTGTGACCCTTGGCAGGTTACTGACCCTCTCTGTGCTTCAAATTACTCAGCGACAAAGATGGCCTAAGTAGTCTCTGCGTTTGCTTATTCTTTCAGATTTTGGAGGCGTAGGTATAGGAGGGAAATGCCTGACCTGCTTTTGTTGTTTTGGCTTTGTAACTCTCACATGAGTGTTACTGTCCAAAAGCATCTAAGCCATATAATCCAGACTTGAGCTTGGCTTGATTCTCTTGAAGGACATCCAACTGCAGTGGCTCAGACTAGTCACACTCAGTTTGAGACTGAGTGTGGAAATCAAGGAATCTTTCTCTGGACTCCAGCTGTTTACCAAGTGAGAAGAGTTAATATGGAGAAAGTAATTACCTCCATCTCTGCTTGCCAGATGTGCTCTTCTCCATGTGTATGAAATGGGAAAAGAGAAGAGGAAGAAAATTTCCATCTTTCCACCAGCCAGAGGCCATCCAGACCTCTGGAGTGGGCTTTGGCAGGACAGAGTAACCCAAAGGCCTAACTGGAGGGTGGCTGTGTACTGCCCACGTCTCTTTCCCCAACTCCACCTCCAGTCTCTACAGCACAGTCTGGGCATGGGGCTGCAGTTTCCTACCCGCTTGGAACTTCAAGACATGGAGTTAGGACAGGAGAAACCTGTTAAAGTGTGGCCATATTGACACTGAAAGACACTATTGACTATTCATGCCTTAAATTGATTTTTCTTTCATGGTTCATCTGACCCATGGAGAGAGAGGAATGGAGGAAAAGATCTAGAACCCTGGGCATTGCTAGGAAAGGTGGATGTGAATAACGATGCAGAGTAACAGTCTGCTTTTAAAATTAGCAGTAAGCTTTAAAATTACTTAAAAAGCAATGGTCAGGACCCTCTCTGGTGCTACAGTGGGTTAAAGCACAGCACTAAGAATCTAAAGCCACTTCAGCATGAATTCGATCCCCACCCCTGGAGGTGACCCACATGGCACAGCAGACCTCTCCTGTCCCACCCGCTGCTCCCCTCAACAGTGTACTTTGTCAATCTGCCTGTTCTACTCCCTACTCTGTCTCTGGTGAATCCTCTCACCACTCCTGCACCTCCGGCCTGTACCCCAGTTCTGTATGCACAAATAAATAAATCATTTAAAAAAAAAAGAGAGAAATGGTCAGTCTCCACTGACTGGGGGCAGGAAGAGGTGCTAAGATGGTTCTGAATCAGAAAGTACCTGTCAGCGACAGAGGGAACCATTTGCTTGTCACTGGGTAGACGTGATAGAAATCAAATGCAACATCCATATTTCAGTGGCTCTGTTTTCTAAACAAATGGTCTGCAGGGTCATCTAGAGTGAATTTCCTATGTCTAGTAGCTTCCTTCATTCAAAATAATCTGCTCAGTTTTTTGCATCTACAAGTGACAGGTTCTCACAGGATTATAAAATATATGTGCAACACAACCTGAAGGAATACATTAGAAACAAGAAGATGCTGGAGCAGTCGCAGGCTGCCCCTGGGGAAGAGAATTATAAGTCATGCAGGTTAAAGCAGTAAATGCTTCTTAACACTTTGTTGTACTTGAAAACTTTCACTCAGTGATCATGTGTTGGGGGATGTTGGGGGAAAAGTATTTCAAAAGTTTTTTTTTTAAACGGTAAATTATCAATTTTTTGTTGTTGACACGTCACCAAATCATGGAAGGTTAGGTCAAGATGCGATTAAGTTGCTCCATCCTGGTAGTACCCTCCAATAGTGAGTTTCTCCTCCTTTCCCCTTTCAGCATCTATAACAACCATTGTGCAATTAACCTTTTCTTCCTTCTTAACAGTTCATGGATCCTCACTCTCCTTGGTTTCCAGCACGTCATCAATTTACTCTACAGTGAGTACAAATCAATGCAATGTGTCTGTGATCGGGAAAGCCAAGGTCCCCTTATCAAGTGTGTCAGGAATGAAAAATAGCATTTCTCCTGAAGAGAGTATTTCCATTATAAGAGGGACAAGTCATTAAAGAACATGAATTGGAATTCACAAACAGCTATTGATTATAATATACCGACTAATAGACCAGAAACAGACTCCTTTGTTAAAGTGGCATTGTGCTTTGGGTGATAACAAGGTAGAATGTTTGAAAAGCCTCAGCCTCCTGCTGGTAGACTTCAAACAGGACCTTGAAAAACTACTAGTCTTCTGTCAGCCTCAGTGTCTTTTTCTGTAAAGTAGAAAAAGGAGCAGTCCCTATCTGTGGTGGTGTTATAAAGAGCAAGTATTTTGAAGACCACATTTCACCACAATATAAATTCCTTGATGACAAAGATTTTTTTCTGTTTTTATTCTAGTGACCAGGGCCCAGCACATAGCCATATTCCAAACATAAGTGTGAATGAAGTAAAAAAATTTTGTGAAGCAATAAATATAGTGCATACAGCACCAAGTAAGCACTCATAGATGTTAGTTGTCATCAGTGAGAGGTCTACTGAACAAAAACCAAATATGGTACTGGATTTGTTCCATGGTACTTACTTTTTATAGCTATGTGCATAGCTATCTTAAAAGCATGGATTTGGGCATTCCTATAGGAAACATCATTTTATTAATTAATAATTTAAAATTATTCAGTCTTTAAGTCCATGGAGGGCGAATATCTTAAGAATTCAGTTTTTGTTAATGCTAGGTTTGTAGCCACGTAGCAGAACAAACTGTATATAGACCCTTGAACATGACCACCCCAGAATCAGATAAAGAGCACAGAAGCTTACTGTTCTTTCTGAAAACTGTAGGGAACAAACAAACTTCAGTGATGACATGGTCTGATTTGAAGGATCTAGAAATGTTCCCCCAGCCCTCCAACTTCAACTTACTTTTTTCCTTAGCAGGTCATCTTGTCTGAAATTTTTGTCACAGAATTCTGCCTTTAAGTTGGAAAGCTTTGTCTCTAGTAACTTTGGAGAGAGGGTATTGAAGTCATTACCTGCCATAGAGATGGCCTTCTGGCAATCAGCTAATGGATAAGTTGTTTTTTCTTCTAGAATAAAACTGCAGTGTGAGTATCAAGGACAGTATTTTCAAAGCTAGATTTACTCTTTCAGCCTTATGTACTGGCACTAAGTATATGCAAGACTCTGGGCTAAGCCCTAGGGATATGGTTTAGGTGCTGAAAGCAGGAAGCTAGAGGATGCACCTGAAGTCCCAGGGGACAGGGATGCTCTTGTGACACAGGGTGTGTGCTGAGCAGACACATGGAAGCTCGGGCCACATGTTTTCCTAGTGGAGTCACAGGGCTACCAGTCAAAGAGAGAGGGTGTGTCCTTCTCCAAAGAACAAAACCTGGGACACTCCCCTGCACCAGTGAGCCTTGGAGGGGACAAGATGAGCTGCTCTGCCCGTGAGATCCATGAAGGAAACTGGACGTTTTCACAGTCAGAGGCTGCTCTTCCAGTCATTCTTGTTCTGGGTGTGTGCACATGGTATTTTTGTGAAATATCAAATCGATTGTTAGAAATTTTGGGCTCATCCAAACTTGTAAATTACCAAAGACCTAATAATTCCATGTTCATCTGGATAGTAAAAGTTGAGATTTAATCTTTGTTTTTTTTCTCACTGTATGACATTAGATAAATCATCCCATTATTCTGGGTGTTCCAGCTTCTCTCTTAGAGTCAGGGAACTAGGTGTGGTCCCCATGTAGAGGTGGTCTCTGAGGCATTCCATTAGTCATAGAGGCAGAGGTTGCCACTGGATGCCCTATACAAGAGCCTTTTCTGACAGTAGACGTGGCTTTTGAAAAATAGTCTAACATTTGGCGGGTTTCAGATTAGAGTCGTCTGCTAATTCCAAGAAAAACTGTTAAGTCTAGCTAGACTCTGCACCTTGAATGTGTGGTCCCTCATATATTGTTAGCCTCTTGGTGATGATGAAATGCTGACATGAATTCTCAGGTATTTTTGTAAAGGTTGGGGTAAACATGTTCTTATTTGTGTCTAAAATGAAATTTCAAGTTATTTGCCGCCATCCCAAACCAGAGTCTGTTTTATAGGCTCTTACTGGATGATAATAGTTCCTCCACCCTGAAAGCTTTGTAATTCCTAAATAATCATGTAAGCTCATTCTGGCTGAAATTTAATTACAAAGGAAAGAAAAGGCAACATGATCTAAACAACTGCCATGGCTAGCCCGTGGAATAGAGAAAATCGAAAAGGCCACATCTGGCATGAAGCATTCTCTCAGCTGAGCAGCAGTTAGTTCCCAGGGGAGCTACTGCATGGAGTGAGGCCCAGAGCTTGTCTTAGAGCTTCCAGATGTAGAGAAGAGCAGCAGCAGCTGGGAGCAAAGATACAAAGCATCTGATTTCTCTAGGCTGCTATGGAGAACTCGGGCCCAGCCACAGGGACAGGTGGACACAGTGACAGAGACCTGGCAGACAGTGACAGAGACCTGCGGAAGGCAGAGGGATTTAGACCACTGACAGAGGTATTTAGAAGTAGGCTTGGTCTTACATGGATGGCTCAGCCAGTAACAGGCCTCCACCGGCCTCCCAAATGTTAGAGAGCTGTGACAGCCATAGCATTGACTTTCCTCCTTTGATTCAGACATCAGGAACCTTATTTCTGGAAGCTTCCATCTGAGTGTGGCTGTAGTCAGGAGCGTTATGGAGCAGGAAACCATGCTGGTGAAAGCAAGGGCTCTAGAGTCAGACTAGCTTGAATGCAATTCCAGTTCTATCATTTACTAAGTATGACCATAGTTAAATTACTTCACCTTTCTGCATCTCAGCTTCTTCATTTGCAAAATATAAGACCACATTATCAGTACTTTCTCAAAAGGTTGTTGTGAGGATTAAAGGTATAGTGATCATACAGTGCTGACAAGAGTTGCTGGGACATGGGAAGATTCCGTAAATGTAAGCTATTATTACCAAATACAAGCAACATGAGGTCAGGGACTGGGTTATGTTCACCGCTGTATCCAGGCTTTTAAAACAGTGCCCAGCACATAATAGGAAGTCAATAAATATTTGGCAGGTGGTGGTAGTGGTGTTGATGAATGGGTGGGCAACTGGACAAGGAGGAATGGATACATATTATCTGGAAGGAAGGGTGGGTCCTGAGGATATCCCCCAACCTCCTGAGAGTATCCCTTAGATGAGGAGACTGGTCAGCTGGGTGATTTGTGCAAGATATGCAGGCCTCAGGAGGACTACAAACAAAAACCTACTTCAGGGGGTGACTATGAGGATTAAATGCTTTGGTCCCAGTATACCTAAAAATGAACTGCTGTTGTTAGACACCAGCCAAGCAGGAGGGGGGTTTCTTTGGCTGGATCAGAAGTCAGAGCAGTGGAGATCAGTGGGTGAAGGGTGATCAGACAGGAAGCATCCACCCACCTGCCCAGGCTGACTGGGGTGGGGTCTTTGGAGCTAAAGAATCATACCCCTTTGCATTCTGAACTAGTAGAGAAGTAGACATAAGAATTAAAGCCTGATTTTTTTTTAAATAATCTTTTTTTATATATATAGTAAATTTGTTAGGACCCAGGGTGAAAGCTCATGGGCAATGTACGGTCCCTACTGACATTCACTCAGTAACCTGGCTCCTAAGTCACTGCTCCACCCCAGAAGGTGTTTATATGGGGTGGAGAGAAGGGCAGGAAGAAGCACTAAAAACATTTCCAAGAATGTGGGAGGAGCCTTCTTTTATGAGCCCCCAGGGAACCTGAGGACAGGGAAAGAAAGGTTCCCCCTGCAGCAGGTTCCTTCAACCCATGTGGGTTCCCTCTGTGGGAGGAGAGAGTTAGTCTTTCAGTTGCTGGCTAGCAGTTAGCTGTGTCATCACAGACAGGGAAGCATGGAAGCCTCTGGCAGTAAGAGGGTTCACAGGCTTTGCTCTCACTCCCCAGGACCACAGGTAATAGGGGGACTGGGACATACAGCAACCAGGGGAGTCACCGGGCTAGCTGATAGGTGTTCCAGCCCCCTGTCCTGTTGCTGCTCCTGCTGCAGCACCCTACAGACAGGAGGAAAATTGAGGCAGTTAACCTATGAGCACTGCTTTCGTCTCCCCAGTTTGCCAGAACACCCAGTTAAATTTGAAATTCAGACGAATGGCAATGTTTTAATATAAGTACATCCCTAATATTACATGGGACATGCTTAAATGTCAAAAAAATCTGATTTGACTCAGTGTCCTGTATTTTTATTTGCTGAATCTGCTTTGACTCTGTCCTGTATTTTTATTTGCCGAACCCGACTTTGGCTCACCCCACACACCCTTTTTCCTTAGTACCTATTCCTTTCACCATCTCCACATGGGAAAAGGGGGTAGGGCAGGGAGGGTTTCTCACAACCCACATAACTAAATGTCTTCTCATTCTTCCTGATTTCCTAGTAATTATAATAGCTTGTATTTGGCTTTTCTTTTGGTCATTTTAATTGAACCAGTTTACCCAGAGAAATACAGCAGAAAAGAAACCAGTAAATCTTCAAGATTGCTCTAAGCATCCAAATATGGTATTCCCGAAAGACGGGACAGTAGTTTTCTTTGTTGCTCAACTGGTCTAATTTCCCTTATGTTTTCTTTACAGCCGGAAGAAAAATGCCAATCAGAGGTAAGAAAGAGTTTGCTGGTTGCATCTGCTCTTTGGCCATCATCAGTCACTTTGCCAACTCCACCTGGCCGCGGCCTCCTCAGGCCTCTCCAGTCAGTAACTCTGCCCTTTGTTTTTAGATTCGCAAACTGCGGCGAGAGCTGGATGCCTCCCAGGAAAAGGTTTCAGCTTTGACCACCCAGCTGACAGCAAATGTGAGTCGAGACACAGGGTGGCAGCCTGCAGGAAGGGGAGGCAGCCCTCCGAGCCCCCCCTCCTCCTCCCCCCAACAGAGTAGTCTCATAGAATAATCGCAAGAACACAGGCTTGAGCTTCATAGGTGTGAAGGGCGGCCAGACACTTACTGACTGTGCTTTGGGCAAATTCTTTAGCTTCCCTCCAAGCCTGAATTTGCTTAGCCGTGTAATAGGGGCTGTCACATGATCTATATGAAGTACTCAGTAAAATTTTAACTTTCTTTTCCTCTTCCTGAACACTTTCATCTGGGGAGGGGAGGAAAAAAAAATACCTCAGACTCCACAATAAATAGTTGGCTGCTCTGTAATTATAATAAACACAATTACCTGTTCAGGAAGAGCTGCCAGCCATCGTTGAATTCAGCATCTGTTTCAGTGCCAACGATGCCCCGGGGCACTGTGGATTCAACAGCAAAGCAGGCACAGCCACTGTCATCTTAGTATTTTATCTCTGGTACAGCAGAAAGAGAAAACAGTTTCGTTGTAACATGATAAGGGATAAAGAGAGGAGGTTGTAGGGATACATAGGTAGAACATTTAACTTAGTCTGTGTGGTGTGGAGGGAAGTCAGGAAAGACTTCCTGAAGGAGGTGAGATCTGCTGAATGCTGTGTAGGGAAGGATCTATGGGGAAAACAGTATTCTAACAAAAGAGAACAATTTATGCAAAAACCCAAAGTGCAAGATCTTTGTGTGCTTGGAAACTAAGTAGCTCAGTACAATTATAATCTATGGCATGGATGTGGGGGGAGGTGGTGGGGGGATTAAAGTGGGGAGTGAAGAACCATCAAAGAGAGGTGACATCTTGGAGAGGCTTGGTTGGTAGGTGGAGAATTTGGGCTTCCTGAAGCTGGTGGAGACCCATCAGTGACTTTTTTTTTTTTTTTAAGATTGATTTATTTATACTTACAAGAACTGGGGTACAGGCCAAAGGTGTGGGGGGGGAGCGGTGAGAGGATTCACTAGAGAGAGTGAGGAGCAGAACAGGAAGATTGACTGAAGTACAGTACTCAGTGTACTGACGTATACTGAGGGGAGCAGTGGGCAAGACAGGAGAGGTCTGCTGAGCCATGTGGTCACCCCCTGGCTGGGACCCAACTCATGCTGTAGCTCTTCATAGTGCTGTGCTTTAACCCACTGTGCCAACAGAGAAGGCCCCCATGGGTGACCTTTAAGCAGAGCAGTGAGTGAGGCAATACGTTTGCTCTTAGTGAGGTCAGAGGAAAAGCAGCCACCCTCTCACCTGCTCTGTAAAGGAGCCTGCTATAGAGCTGTGAGGACTGAAGCTCAGAAGCTAGACTGAGCTGTGGTCAGAGCTGGGATATCTCTGGTGGACATTTCCAGCCTGGAAGCCCACTCTGAGACCATTGCAACCTGCACAGCCCCCATTATGCTGCAAAGTGAAAGTTGCCTCTCTTGGACCAGGTAACACAGTCAGTATTCTGAATGAATCATAGACATAGAGTTTTTGCTCAAGTAACTCCTGACTTGAGCCTGACTACTCAAGAAAACGATTTTTCTTTCAAGTCTTCACATGAAGTGCCCAGCGCTGTGCTTGACATTAACTATAGGCTCAATAATTGGCAGTTATGCTATTATTTATGCTTCGAGCCCGTTCACATTTATGGAAATCCATTTTTCTGCACAACATGAACTTACTAGAACACTGTGTTTTTGTGCTCTTTTTTTTTTCTTCTGACCTCTCCCTGACCAGCAGTTCTATCAAAAACACATCAGAAATTGATGTGAGATCTGCATTTTGAGCCTTAGGTCCTATTCAAATGGAAAAAGCTGAGGGATTCTTCTCTGGGCCAAGTCTTCATTTTGGTAACCAGATGCAAACATTGGGCTGCAGAACCCACCCCAGAGCCTATGAGCCTGGTCCTTTGGGTCTGATCCAGATACGTGGGGTTTGACAAATGCTTCTCCCAAGTGAGCTGAGCTACACTCCTAGTTAACAATCAGACTGTCAATTGCTGCCCCTGACTAATCATAATTAATTTACTTCTAAGTGAACTTGGGTTAGTTGCTATAGTGACACCCCAGGAAACCTTACATGGACTATTTGGTACTCCGCTGTGTTCCAGAAGAGTCAGGATGAGGTCCATCATCAACTCTAGTATTGTTTTAAAGTAAATATTTAGTCTTACCACACACCACTGGCAGTGTTGACGCGTTTTATTGTCAGCCATCCTTATCACAAGCCAAGCTGTGTTTGTTTTTCTAGAATAAACTCCTGAAAGCCACCTTCTACCTTCTACCACTCATGTTTGTTTCCCCTGGGAGGGGTGGTGCTGGGTGAGGAGCCCCACTGTCTGACCCTAGACCAAGCTCAACAGCTTCACGGCCCTGTTTTCAGAGTCACCCTCAAGACGCTTACTCAGTTCTCTGCTCACCAGCAAAACTCCATCCTCGGCTTCTTCAGGCAAATGTGGTTTCTTCTTGAGCTTGCAAAAACACTTTTTCAGTAGCAGCCTTCATGATTTTATTTGTAATTGAATAGGAATAGGAAATAGGAATATCCACATGTAGAATCAGGGGTGGTGCTCCAGCACTTAATAAAATCCATAGAAGTTTAGTCATTTAAATGTAACCTTGTCATACCTTCAAAATAGATAGCAGTCCTTCTTTTCAATATCCTGTCCTGGCTCAGCTCCTTCCTCCACTAGGTGACTGTCTTGAATTGATTGGCTTTGGTTTTGCCACATTCTCCAGGGCAAGCAAAACATATTCCCTTATATTAAAATGCAAAGGCATTTTGGCAATTTTTTTTTTTAAAGATTTAGTTATACATACAGAACTGGGGTACAGGCCAGAGGCTCAGGGGTGGCAAGAGGCTTCACCAGAGACAGAACAGGAGCAGATGGACGAAGTACACTGCTGAGCAGAGCAGCGGGCGTGTCAGGAGAGGTCTGCCATGCCATGTGGTCACCTCCGGGGCAGGCGGGAATCGAACTCATGCTGAAGTGGCTTTAGCTTCTCAGTGCTGTGCAGTGCTTTAACCCGCTGCGCCACAAGGGAGGGCCCATTTTGGCAATTTTTAATAGCGAGGGTATGCAGTCAGAAAGAGACTAGCTTATTCCACTTAACAGTTTGATGACAAGTACTTCATTACTATAACAGCCAGCTGCTATGACTGTTGAGTAAAGAACTGCTGTGGATTCCAGAAACACCTTATCTTAGACTCTCTCTGTTTGATGAAGTTAATGACTGAGGCCTCTTACTCAACCCTCCAATCGCTCCTCCTTTAATTGAAATCTCCAGTGGGGGAGGAGCTCCTTGCTATCCTGCTTCTATATGTTTTAGCCATCTTCTAGAATTTTTACAGCATGAGCAAATCTTTCTTCTTTCTTCTTCCCCCAAGACACTCAGACGTCCTGCGCTGGCTCGCTCTGTCTGTCCACCCAATCTCCCCATCTTTGGTCACGCTCTCCTACACCTCTTCCTTTCCCCGCAGTCTCCGTTCCTGTTCTGCAGTTCTGTGGCAATTGACATTTTCCCTGACATTGTTTCATTTTATATCCATTATAATCCTGGGAGGAAAACGAATATTGTTCTGACTTTAGAGATGAAAAAAACCATAGGCAGATTTGATGACTTATCCTTGGCTTTAATAATGTTACCAGGCTCCTCAGTCACACCACTAATATTCCATGTAATGTTCTGCTCTCTGTGCCAGAGGAGGCCTAGTGCTCAAACATCGTGCCCTTGGAGTGGGCTGCCGAGAAGGTGCCAGCAAGAGGCATCCCATTTCTCAGTTCTACAATACAGCTCTGCTTCTCATTTTTGACGTCTCTGAAAATCGGGTTCATATTTTAATTAGAATTTGCAGCATTTTAAAAATGCCTTAGCAGCATTGAAAATCAGGGTGCATCTGATGCTGTGATATCCTCACAGAGGTATATGGAAGTTGTAGGAGAGCTTTGGGGAAAGTCATTACTTCTGAGGGGGATGATTCTCGAAGGAGGTAGCAGAGGGGCCTTTCAGTAGTTTTTTATTAGCCAGAATGATAACAACAAGCAAAACCTCTTAGTTCATTCATTTGACAAGTGTGCTCAATGAGAGTCTCTATGGTAAACTTGGCCTTGGTGGACCAAAGGCCTTCCTGCAATGAAATAGAGGGTAGACATGATCAATCAGCCTCACGCCTGTATTCTTGACCATGATACCACAAAGCACATTTCAGCATTCCAGTGTGCTTTTGAGAGTGAATATGAAGGAACAGTCCATTCTAGGGGTATCACGAAGGTATGAGCTGAGATCTCTTGAAAGGTTATATAAAAATTTGAGAGGGATGTAACTGGGGGTAGAACATTCTAGGTGGGGGTTGGGGTAAAGCCTGTATAAATGCTTTGAGCAGGAAGCAACAATGGTGTGATTGAGAACATAAAAAACTAGAGCATTGGACCCCATATAGTGGTGAGGCATGGGGTTGAAGAGGCTGAAGTGGTTAGAAATCAACTCACGTCGTCCTGATAAGAACTTGGGCCAGCACCTGGTAGCCACTCTGTCCTTATAGGTGGTGTAACTCAAGCTGTCTTCCCTAGGCTCATCTGGTGGCAGCCTTCGAACAGAGTCTTGGAAACATGACAATCAGGCTCCAGAGTTTGACCATGACAGCTGAGCAGAAGGTAAAGCAGAAAGGATGCTTTCTTTTTTTTCTCCCTGCTTGGAGGTATCAACATACCTTAAAATATTATTCTCCTTCTTTTCAGGTAACTTTAAATATTTCAGTTTACCTCTTAAACTGTTAGAGTAGAACCATAAAGACTAGGTCACTTGAGTCACAATAGGACCTAGATTGAATCTGGCAACTGCATTGGCGATAGGTCTCTTAGTCTATTCCTGCTGCCTTCATGAGTCACATATGCCAGTTCAAAATAGATCCGACTGATGGTTTGAGGCACAGGTTGTGTGGAACTCCTCAGTTGAAGCTAAGCTGGATCTCAGTTGAACTCTGGAATGATTTTAGGCTGACCAATATTGTGCTCTGTTCCTCAGGATTCAGAACTGAATGAATTAAGAAAAACCATTGAGCTACTAAAGAAACAAAACGCAGCAGCCCAGGCTGCTATTAATGGAGTAATTAACACACCGGAGCTCAACTGCAAAGGTAAAGGAGGAAAAGCAGCCTCAGACCAACCACCTGCCTGAGTGTTTGCCACAACCTCCCTGCCAGAGAGTGGGTACCCATGTCACGTGGATAGGTCCAGAGACGCAGACACTCATAACCCACTTACTTCTGGCTTCTAGGGAAATAGCTATTTTGACTCATCTGCTTAATGTCTCTTGAAAATGTGGTTCTCAGTAGGTTGGCAAAGTTTCCACGGGGTTCACAGCCCTTCGTTTCATTAACAATTTGATGTGAAGTAAACTGAAGTGGTCCCATTTCTTACTTATCCAGGAAAGTACTTGCAAGTGAACTGCTTTGTCCTCTTGTTTACCTCAGGGGGTGGGATGAATGTAGGCATGAGGATGAGTGACCACCTACATTAATGATATTGACAGTAATAAGAGCAGAATAGTGATAGCTGACATTAGTGGGACACTCACTGTGTTCTATGCACTACACCCTATGTTTTAATTATCTCATTTTCTTCCTACAACAACCTTATGGGTAAGATACTGCTCTTCCCTGCCTTGTACAGATGAGAATAATGAGATTCAGAGCCAAAAATCCTTCCTGAGGTCACAGAAAAGGAAAATACAGGGATGTATTTCTAGGTCAGCCTGTTTGACTGTGAAACCCATGCTTCTCTTAAGACTTGGCCTGGGTGTGGTTCTGCACTTGGAGAAGACTATCTGAAAACCCCAGCCATTGGGGCAGGGTTATTTCTGGTATCACCGTAACTGCAGATATCAGGCCTCCTGGAGAAGAGGTGACTGACTTGAAGTGGGAAGGGTTGGCAGGAGCTGACTAGGCATACTAGAAGGAAAAGAGCATTCCAGAACGAGGGAACAGCATGTGTAGGGTCCTGAGATGAGATGTTCTTGGCATTGCCAAAGGGCCAACAGGCCAGGGGAACAAAGGAAGGGATGGCTGACCTCATGGGGGACTGCTGCCGCAATTCAAGTCGAGTTTGGTGCCTAACTACAGAGTCAGAGAGCTGGTGTTGGAGGAGTTCTAATCTCCACAGGCTCCTGCTTTATTAAGTGGACAGAGAAAGCGCCCCCCTTTGAGTGACCAAAGAGGGCATAGCAGCCACCTGGTCAAGAACTTTAAAAACCAGCAGCAGGGGACAGACAGTAATGTGTGAAGCAAAGCGCCGAGTAGTCCTCCGGGGTGTGGTTGTAGGCGTAGAGCTATTCCCCAGGAAAGAACAGGGCTCAGGCCGCACTGCTCATCTCCTGCCTTGGGCCTCCAGGAAACGGCAGCGCCCAGTCTGCAGACCTGCGCATCCGCAGACAACACTCCTCCGACAGCGTGTCCAGCATCAACAGCGCCACCAGCCACTCCAGTGTGGGCAGCAACATCGAGAGCGATTCAAAGAAAAAGAAGAGGAAGAATTGGGTGAGTGAGCATCCAGGGACTCTTGTAAGTGCAAACAGAGTCCATCCCCCTGAATAAAGCCCAGGCTTATTCTTAACTTCAGGACATGGCACCTTTGGGTGGCAAACCCTAAGAAGTGATTTGTGGATAGATTTCTACCCAAACCAGTATTGTACCAGCCAAACACTGAGATTGAGGAAATCACCCCTCCTTTGAAGTTTTTGTTTCATGAGACATTATGTGAGTGCTCATCTTCCATTTCACGTGTGTCATTTCTTCCTCATTCAGTGTTGGCCATAGTTTCAGGTACTAAAACGAAGCTACTCTTAAGTAGTTTCATCTTAGTTACTTCCTCAGTATTAACAATTTTTTGGACTGTCCGACTTGTGTTACTAGTGACCCCATTATTAGTCATAATCCTTATCTATGTACTTTGTTACACAGCTGCCCATAGCAGCATTAAATCACCCATCTCTGAAACATTTTTGACCATGACCTATAAATAAAAGTTTCAGAGAACTTAACTGGGGTGAGTTGATAGACCCAGTATGCAATGAAGTGTTGTCCATCTTGCTATAAATGCCCATGACCTAGTTGACTTCCTGTTATCAATGGTTTATTGAACAGCTTTTGCCTGTTCTCTTGGGAAAATTCTACCCCCCTCTCTCACCTACATGTAAGTTTTGCTGCTGAGGCACTGGCGTCCTGTTTCATGTCGGTTGCTCCCTATCTCAGGAGCAGGGCTACGCCACGTTGGTCTCACACTGTCCAGGACTCAGAGACCCTCTGTCAGTACTGCAGCACCACGTTCCCATAGTGGCTTCTGTGTTGTCATTCGTTCCATACACTTCTCACTCATACACTGTGTTATCTTGGATGGGTGGCGAGGTCTATTGATAGAGTTGAGGACTGAGTAATTGAGGTTATTGATGACTTGTGTTGGAGGACAGCTAAAAATCCAGCTCAGTGCGACCCTCTCATCATTCTGATTAAATTTTTCCTTTAAGTTACTGGTGGCTTTTGGTCAGCTCATTTACTATGTCTTAAACAAGTAAGATTAACTCCTCTTGCTGTTTCTAATATCAATTGCGTAATCAAAGTGATGAGAAAATTATTTTCTATGAAAAATAGCACTAGCCATTTTCTTCAAGAAATAAAACTTATGTCTTTTGCTTTAAGGCAACTCTTACCAGTGAAATTGGGGAAGATGAATAGCTGGTGTCCTAGATGTCCCCAAAGCTCAGTTCTGCCTGATCTTTGTATTCTCTGCTTCCAGCTGCCATTTTATCAGACGAAGAGGCTAAGCTTTAGTTTGAGAGTGTGTGTGATAGATCCTCCTGTTTTTTATGACTGCACTTTGGAAATACGATCAAAAATAGGAATGGGAGAGTAATGGGATCTAGATTTACCTATAAGCTAGACCTGCAGTTATGTATGAAACAGTGATGGAAGGGAGAAAAAAGCCATTAACCTACAATGGCCCATTTTCTGAATTTCTCAATGGTTAATAAATTTCTTCAAAATAACCTCTTCTTTGCTGTTGTTGAGTAACAGTGAGATGGCAAATTCCCTGCCTTTCTTATCTCACATGTGTATAAGGGCAACAAGAGCTCTAAGTACACAGATCAAAGAGATAAACAATCATGTTGGGACTAGGGCAGCCATAAAGCTACCCCTGCTGAGACAAGAAGACACCCCCCCCACCCCAAAACAATGGTTAAAGATGACTGATGAGAGACGAGAAAAGAATGAAAGCTGCGAGGAGGCGGAGGCAATCTTTTTAACCAGACAGGGAAGCTAGAAAAAACTTGGACATCCAGACCCATTGTTCCTTTTCTTTGATAATGGAAGCAGAAGCCCATAATGCTTTGAAAGATTCATGCTCCTACTGGAAACCTCCACTGTACGTGATGTGATTATTAGCCATGTCATATCTGAAAAGCCCAAAGCTTTCCCCATCACTGGCCTTCTCTGTTAAAAATTGTCTTTTTTCCTTCCCCTTCCCCATTTTTGCTTACGTTTTCTCTGGCAGGTCAATGAGGTAAGCGAGACCAATATTAACATCAGATACCAAGCTAACCCATCCACGGATACGGCTAACCTCACCCGCATCCCTTACTGTGTCTGAGCATCTGCTTTGTTGCTGTGTAACCTCCTCCTCCGACATTCATCTGCTGAGCCAGGCTCTGTCTCACTGTTGACCTCTAGTCTTGAACCAAGAGTAGGCATGGAATGTTCCCCACAGGTCCAGTCCTTGAGCTGTCAGCACCAGATAACTCTTCCTCCTTTAATGCACTGATTTGAGAGAGCTGTTGGGAACCTCTTTCTTTGGTTGGGGGGAAATTTGGGGAGAATGAACTGCTCTTTGGTCTGCATGTTTCTGGTTTGCCAAGGCCTGAGCATCAATTGCAGCCCCCGCCAGGCTGATGGTCTTGTGTATTTAGTTACGCAGCTCCTTCAAGCAAGCTTTTGGTAAGAAGAAGTCCCCCAAGTCAGCGTCTTCGCACTCAGACATTGAGGAGATGACGGATTCTTCTTTGCCTTCCTCACCAAAGTTACCACACAACGGCTCTGCGGGTTCCACGCCACTGCTGAGGAATTCGCACTCCAACTCTCTGTAAGTCCATCCGCCGGAGTCAGGGCTCCTAGGAGCCCTCTCAAATAGGAATGGCCAGGAGCCCTGTTATGGTTTATCTGCTCCTTTAGGGTCCTTCTGGGACTATGCTGTTCTTTCAGTGTTTTAGGACTGAGGAGATGAAAAGAGAAAGGAAACTTAGGCCTTTGTTCTAGTGTCAGTGAGGGTGATTAGCTGGCTGGTCTTGGGCAAGCTACTTAGCCTCTCTGTTTCTTCTGCTTTATTTGTCACACTGGCATGATAGTTGATACATCTGTATCCTATCCTAAGGATTGAACTAAATAAATGAATATGAAAGAGCTACAACCATCTTGCTGAGAGGAACAACAGTTGTTTTGAGTGTTGAAAATTTCTGCTGAAACTCTGGTTCTGGCTTAGAGAGATTGGGTTACACTTTTCTTCTTTGACCAAAATTTGGTGTTTACTCGGAGGTCAGAACTAAGAAAGTGGAAATTTGAAAAAAAAAAAAAAAAAGAAGAGATGAAGTAACAATTCTCTTAACCAAAAGGTCTATATTTCATGAAATGAGCTTCCCTCGTAAATTTTATTTTATTTTTCAAGATTTATTTTATTTATACAAGAGCTTATTCAGCCAGCCACTGAAGACATTTGCCCAGGTATCTCAAGGTCAGTTTACCAGGTGGGTACAGGACTGTGAGCCCATCAACCAGGTCTTTGTAGGTCTGACTTCATGGAAACATGGAAGAGAGGGAACTGAGCAGGGAGCTCACCCACAAGTGAAGGTTGGCCCTGCCATGGTCTCCATTTAATTAGATTAACAGCTCCTCTTCTCCTGGGGAATACCCTGAATAGAGGATGGCGGTAAGGGGGTGTGTTCTGAAAAGACCAAAGAAGATATTGACCACATTCCCACCCTGAGGGATTCAAGACTAGGGGGAAATGACATTAGTACAGCTCAGAGCACTTCAGAGCTTCTGCTGTCTGGCAGGCTCTTCCCAACAGTGTTCAAGACAAAGTTCCAGCTCTGTGGCCCTCACACCACAGCATAAGACAGACCTTAAACAAATACATCTGAGTAACTAGAAAAATCTGGTAGCACTAAGGTAGGTTAAAACTGTGAATTAAAACAATAGTGTTGGTGGGAGGTACAACACATTAAAGCACAGCACTATGAAGCTGGCCACAGCCACTGCAGCATGAGTTCAATCCCCGGCCAGGGAGGTGACCCACATAACCCAGCAGACCTCTCCTGGCCCACCCACTGCTCCCCTCAGCAGTGTACTTTGTCAGTCTGCCTCCTCTGCTCCCAACTTTGCCTCTGGTGACCCCAGTTCTATATGTATAAGTGAATAAATCTTTAACAAAAAAAAAAAGCCAGCAGTGTGGACTATCCAATACAGTCTGTTGAGAACAAAACAAAGGACCCCCAAGGACCAGGGTGGTCAGGAAAGGTCCTTCGGAGGAGTTGACATTTCAGCTGAGATCTTGATGGGAGGAACCAACACGGATCAGCTCTGGTCAGTAACCTGAGCTGCTGTAACAAACATCCCAAAGCTCTGCGGCTTTCCATATGACTGTTTCTGGTTAACTCCAAACCCAGTACAGATAGCCCAGTCAGCAGGCCACATACAGTGTAGGGTGCAGGCCCTGAGGCTCCTCCCATGTGTGGACCACCATCCCACTGGACCTCTGCTGGGTCCTGAGTCTGCCAGCAGCTGGGGAGAGGGAGAGAGCACAAAGAATGCCCTGGGAGAGTTTCGCAGGTCTCGCTGGTGAGAGACACGTCACCTCTTTTAGCAACCCACTGAGTGGTACTTGGGGCTGTATTACCTCCCAGGGAGGAAATGACATCGGTGTGTCCAGGAGGGAAGGAAGAGGTCTGTGGTAAACACTTGGTGGTGGCTGCCACCCAGCCTCACAGGGAGCAGGTGGCCTTCTTGGCCCAAGAAATGAACAGCACAAGTAACTAAACTAAGGTGGAAACAGCTGGTATGTCAGGAAGAAAAGGATGGCCAATGTGGCTGCCTCATAATGGGCAGGTGAGAGACAGGTGGGGTGGCCTTGGGTAGAGGCAGGATGTAGAACATAGGAGGCTTTGAAGTCAGAGTGAATTTGCATCTGATTGTGTGGAGAGGTTGCAGAGTTAAGCAGGGGTGTGAGATAGTCTGGAAGTTTCACAGTCATTTATCTGTTTTTTGTGTGATTAAGGAATTTTACGGAGCAAGAGTAGAGGGGTACTAGATAGGATGATGCTGATGGTGAGTGCTTGATGGACTTAGGTACATTCTTGAAGAAAGGTTAAGTACAACGCTGAACAGTGTAAAGGAAAAGGAGAATATCGCCCTTAGAAATTACTGGATTGTGGGCTCTCTTAGTGCAGTGGGTTAAAGTGCAGCGCTACAAGGCTAGCCACAGCCACATCAACTCGAGTTCAGTCCTCGGCCAGGGAGGCGACCCACATGACTCAGCAGACCTCTCCTGTCTCCCTGCTTCTCCCCTTAGCAGTGTACTCTGTCAATCTGCCTGTTCTGTCAATCTGTCAGTTCTGCTCCCCACTCTGTCTCTGGTGAATCCTCTCACTGCCCCTGCACCTCTGGCCTGTATCCCAGTTCTGTATGCATAAATAAATATATCATTAAAAAAAAAGAAATTACTAAAATTGCATCTGGAGTGCTGGGCAGTGTAGAGGCATTGCTTCTGGGATTCGTAGGGATCAGGAGTTCTGCTTTGACTGTGTGACATTTGAGACATCAGCCAGCCTGAGATTCCAGGAAGCATAGATTTGGACAGTGAGGGTGCAGAGGTGGAATTGACAGTTGGGAAACTGGCAAGATTCTCCAAGAAGCTGAATGAGAAGGAAGACCTCAAGCAATGAGATCTAGGCTCTGGGATCTCTGCTACTGGAGTTTCAGAAATTAGAGCAGCCAGCAAGGTGGGAAGAAACTCCAGAACAGAGAGAAGCAGCTTTGGAGGAGGGAGTGGTAACCCGGCCAAAGGCTGCTGGGCAGCCAAGTCCGAGGAGAGGGAGGTGCCCCAGCTGTACACAACTCCCAGCAGCCATCGCGAGAACACACCCTCCAAACCGCTTTCCCCATAGGGACTGGGTGGGGCAGACTCTTGTCTCCCCAGCCCTTTGCTGACATTCCACAGCATCCATGGACACTGGAGATGTTTGTTTTTGGTCTAGCTCTCTAAAGGGTGGGCAGAGAGCAAACGCTTATTTCCAGCCTTGAAGGGTTTGTAAGAATGTGCAAATGTAGATGTGAGGGGGAGTTCAAAGAGGAAACCAAAGGCAGAGGAGTAGGACTAAAAGAAAAGGAAAAAGAAAAAAAAAAACACCCTACCCTGTGGGCAAAAGGAATGGCTGAGTGGGAAGGCAGCATTTCCCACCCTCATGGCATTTAAAATTAGGTATGTCACCCCTGCCTGCTGGGCAGGACAGTGGGAATCCACTGGAGAGCATGTTAGGGGCCTGGTGGGAAAAATGCACACCAGGTTGTTCTAGGTTTTCTTTTATTTTTCTTTTTTAAAGATTTATTTATTTATGCATACAAAACTGGGGCACGGGGGCAGTGAGAAGATTCATCAGAGACAGAGTGGGGAGCAAAACAGGTAGATCAACGAAGTACACTGCTGAGGGGAGCAATGGGCAAGACGAGAGGTCTGCCACGCCATGTGGGTCAGCTCCTCACAGGGGATGGAACTCGAGGTGAAGCACTAGCTTCGCAGTGCTGCGCTTTAACCCGCTGCACCACCGGGGAGGTTTTTTATGAAGTGGACAAGCATATGGTGCCTATTGATACAGGTCAGATCAGGAGCCAGGACTCTAAGCAGACCTACTGGAGATAGGTCTGTAAGGGGCATGTTGATCTCTGTACCTGTACCTCCATGTGTTTAAAGTGGAGATAATTATGGCACCTCTTGGCAGAGTTAGTGTACAAAATTAATAAAATAATATTGCACATGCCCAGCACAGACACTTCTGTGTGCAGTGAGTTGTCATCATGGTTGATCGGTGTAAACAGACACTAGAGTAAAGCTAAGAACTTGGCCCTTTATTTGTGCATACAGAACTGGGGTACAGGCCAGAGTGCAGAGGCAGTGAGAGGCTTCACCGGAGACAGAGTGGGGAGCACAACAGGCAGATGGACGGAGTACACTGCTGAGGGGGGCAGCGAGGAGATAGGCAGGTCTGCCGCGCCATGTGGGTCAACTCCCTGGCCGGGGATTGAACTCATGCTGATGTGGCTGTGGCCCTAAGAAGAGCCAGCAGCATGGCAGAGGGTCACTTGCTGAGTGCATTCACTTACTGGTGACAGAGCAGTCACAGTCTCGTGCAAGAAGGAACTGAGGGAGAAGGCTGTCCCAGCAGCAGAGTAGAGGCCAACATCATCTCTCTGTTGTAGGCTATCCCTTTGGAGATTGCCGATTCTGAGAACTGGCCCATAGGGGGCAGCACAGCTGGACCTTCTCCTCTTGGTGCAGTTACTCCCAGCGTAAACGCTGCATTGCAGTTTGCTTTCCCTTTGTCAAGGCTTCACTTAGCCAAGCTTTGCAAAGTAAGCTCATGCTGTATTCCACAGAGTAGGTCTGAGGAAGTGTTTTCTCCTGCTGAGAAAGCTTTCAGGAGAAGTCGCACAGTGTGAGGGACACAGGAACCGAATGCCTTGCTCTGGAGTGCTGGGAGGCCAGCGTGCCAGTGTGAACCGGGCCAGCTCTTCTCGCAATGAATTACAGCTTTCAAGACCTGTGCAGGACACAGTTTGGCTAAGACCCGAGTGTCCAAATGGAATTTTGTTCTGGCTTTACACCCCATTTACACCAGGAGACCATGGTCCTCTCTTTCAAGAAAGAACCAGTTTTTGCGAGCCTGCCCTGCAAACCGCCCAGCCCCCACCCTACCCCCCCCCCCCCAAATAGCATGACTGTGTAGCTAAAGCTTAGAAACCACAGGCTGTTCAGAGTACAGAAGCCAGGGATCGGGGGAGTGGAGCGGGGATGTGGTCTAAATTCTAAAGGCATTTCTGTGTCTCTCGCTCTTTCAGTCCCAGATCTGTTGGGCTCAGTTTCTTCAAGGTATATGATAAGCATGACATCTTTAGGAATCCTTTGCAGATTTCAGAAGAATGTGAAGTAGAGACGCTTCCTTGACTGCTGACAGCTCTTAAAAAGCTAAGAGCTGGTCTGACTCTCTTTGTAGCTCCCAAATCACAACAGTTCAGATACAGGTCAAAAAAATAGCTACAAAAAAAATTGGCTCTTCAGGTGTTACATTTTTTTCCTGATCCCTTTGGCCCCTGAAATACTATTCTATCTCTTTTAGAAATTACAAATGGTTTTCTTTTGGCGATTAGCATTTCCACACCCTCCACCAGTTTTACAGGTCAGGTTTCGTTTGGCCCCAGATGCATACTTGGGTCTCGGAGAGTGGGCTCGCGTGGTGATTTCTGCAACCACAGGTTCACCATGTCTTTCAGAAATAATCAGCTTCAGTTCCGTAACTTTATGAGCTTGGGCAGTGGAGGGGGTGGGGGTGGGGGGTGGGATTCTTTGCTTTTTTCCTATCTTCAGTCCAAGAAATGTCAAAGCATTCTACTCTGTATTACCCTCATGCCAGATCCTATGATCTTTGAAATCAGCTAAATTTTTTCCTAAACTAAATTCTCTTTTCCAACATAGCAATTCATAGTGGTCGTGACCTTCCCTTTGTGCTGACTTGCCAGGAGAGCAAACCTAACTGATCAAATAAGGACCCCGGCCAAGAAGGGACCACCTCTTAAGAAAGAAACCCAGTAGGACTCCAGGGACCCCTTGATCTGGTTACAGCTGAGAGGGGAAGTCAGCACTCATCCGGCTACAGAGTTTTCAGATAAAACTTCGGCTTTTGCGCCACATTAGCCTTTCTGGTCTCTTACGACCTGAAGATGTTTCTCATTATTGCCAGGAGCTTTTTAAATAGTGTGGGACATGAGGGGGGAAAAATGTTGCTCTCTCTAAACACTTTTCGAGGAACTCATTTTAGAATGTGACCAGATACAGACTCTACTATGGCTGTAGGGTCTTTTCCCCCTTTCTGGCAAGTAAAAATGACCCTTCAGCTGCCTGAACTTGGAGTGTCTACTTTTTAAAACAGATAGTTGTCCTTGCTTCTCAGAGTAGGTTTAGCTCTCAAGGGCTGCATGGTGTCATTATTGGAGCCCAGCTGTGTACACAGTTAAAGGGTGTTCAGGCCCCAGTGGTTTTACTACTGCCTTTTTCCAGTCTTCTGTTTATTCGTAGGTTTTTGGAATGTTGCTGAAAGGCACACCAAAGTCTTGCTGATAGCCAGTGTTCTGCAAAGAAAGCTGGAGAAGCAATACAATCTGTGGATTCTAGGTGTTTTGGTGCTGTCAAAGGAGCATCAGGCCGCTGCTTTTCCAGGATCACTGCTGAATAAAACCAGTGATTGCCGCAGGCCAGTGCTTAGCGGAGGACTCAAAGGAGATGGACTCAGAGCTGCTTTCTTGCTTTTCTCTTTCCCTAGAATCTCAGAATGCATGGATAGCGAAGCTGAGACAGTCATGCAGCTGCGAAATGAGCTGAGAGACAAGGAGATGAAGCTGACCGACATCCGCCTAGAAGCCCTAAGCTCTGCACACCAGCTTGACCAGCTCCGGGAAGCCATGAACAGGATGCAGGTGAGCGCCTGGAGCTTGAACTGAGCCCAAGGCTGTCGAGGAAGGAGCACCAGGAGGCTGGTCTGGTTCTGGCTCAGAACCCTTTCATCAGCCTCTTCCTTTTTGCAGATCTTCCTGCAGCTATCTCCAAGACAGTCTTTCCAAACCACAAGGGTAACTGTGTCCTGTTGCATGAGACCTTCAGTGGCTCTGCCGCTACCTTTTGCTCCTTCACCTGGTCTTTCAGGATCCTTTTCCAGGATCTTTTTCAAGGCCTTCTCCGGATGCTCTTCACTCGTAATCTCCCACTCACCAGCCCAAGAGAGCCACTGACTGCTCCCTTTGCATACCCCAGGAATATGCTTCATGCTGGCCTGAGCCTTCTGCCCCTCCACATTGGACCTTCCTAGAAGGCTCTGCCTGAGGCTCTTCTTCACAGTCCTGCAGCTGGATACACCCTAGCTTGGATCCTTACAAAATTGCTCTTAATAGCACTTCTTACTGACTTCCATGGGCTAAGGCATTTGAGTCTTCTGAACTATTCTTTTCTGCCTTCTTTTCTACAGATTCAGTATCAGTGCTTTACCATACCGTAATAGGTACTTCCTAAATAGTCATAGAATGCTGCCCCCTGTGGGTTCTACTAAATAAGACCTCCACTAAATTAAGACTGAGATCAACATTTCCCAAAGGAAATTCCATGGCACACACATTCCAGGAGAGTCCTGTGGAAGGAAAGCTCCTTGAGCAAATTGGCACATGCCGCCTAATCTTGGATTCACAGTGCACAGCAGCTCACTGAGAAATCTGTCAATTCAGTTTCCCACACTTCCTAGATTCTAAGACTCTTTTTCACTGACTACTCAGGCAGCAGACTCTGAGACCCTTTTCTGAGGTCTTTCAAAGGCCAACTTTCTGGTGGGAGGGGCCCGGCCCTGCTCCACAGGTCCCATGGTGATAGTCCAGGCACCCTGACTCTGATGGTGCGACTTACTCAGTCGCAAGGATGGATACCCACTGGGTCCCTGCAGGGAACTTCTGCATCCTTCCTCCAAATAAGGCTTGTTCACACTGCATCCAGCTAATAAGTGGGCTTCTCCCATACTCATTGCAGAGTGAAATAGAGAAGCTGAAGGCTGAGAATGATCGTCTGAAGTCGGAGTCTCAAGGCAGCGGCTGCAGCCGGGCCCCCTCCCAGGTGTCTCTCTCTGCCTCCCCAAGGCAGTCCCTCGGCCTCTCCCAGCACAGCCTGAACCTCACGGAGTCAACCAGCCTGGGTGAGTGGCATCGCAGGATGGGGGCGGGAGGTGGCAGGGCAGGGCCTGCAGCTGGCACCTCAGTCTCCAAGTGAGAGCCCCAGGATAAGCAGATGGACAGATCAAATGGAAAGACAAGAGGCGCGCGTGCGCTCGGGGAGTGTGTGTGTCTGGGTGTGGTGTGCGTCTGCTGCCAACATGAGCCCAGCCGTTAGACTGCTGTCATGCTTTGCTCCAGTGCCCGGTATCTCCAAGCCATGAGCTTGGATCTCCTCACCTACCATGCTGAGTTCTGTTTGATGCATTTTAAGAGGCTGACCTGCAAGCTGAATGCGGCATTCCAACCCCATAATAGCAGCTCCCAGTTGAGCGATGCCTCAGTCTGTGATCGTCCTGCCTTCAGACTGGTCTCCAGCCTGGCGCAACAATCAGTGAACATGATCTAGGTTTTCTTTGTAAGCACATTGAGGCTGACGCTTTGATTTTTTTATCCATGATGCTGCTGTTGCTATTGTTTTGATTGAGTCTCTCCCTCGCACTTCCATTGGCAAGGTACATTGTCAGCCTGCTGGTTCCTTGGTTGGTCCACCATTGGTTCTGTGATTGCATTCTCCATTCTGCCCTCTCCCCTTCCCCTGCCCCCCACTCCTATTCCCCCGCACCCCAACACCTGGTTGGTCCCGCTGTGCAGACAAGCAGCGGGGGTGTTCCAGGAAGCCAGCTTTGCTATCCCCTTGTGCCTAAGGCTGTTGATGTTTTCCATTCGCAGACATGTTGCTGGATGACACTGGTGAATGCTCGGCTCGGAAGGAAGGAGGCAGGCATGTTAAGATAGTTGTCAGCTTTCAGGAGGAAATGAAGTGGAAGGAGGTTAGTTGGATCCCTTTCCCTGCTCTGCCTGTCCTTTCCCCAGGTAGAAACACCTAGTGTAGTGTTTTTGTCCTAAAGCTATAGCACCTCAGTGCCTAAGGTGACTTGGCAATGCCACTAATGCTTTCCTTAACTCGCCAAATCCCAGCAACATTTTGACACAGTTAAAGTCAAGCGGCCCTTCCCCCCTCTCATGTTTGGAAAGGCTAATAAAGACTAGTGAAAGTGGTCCCACATTGTGCTTTCGTGCAATTAATTAAGCACTAACATCAGTCAGAAATGGCTTTTCTGAGTTTAATAAAGTCCCAAACCACTTCAAAGGCAGCCAAGCACCTTTAGTGCAGAAGGTACAGAGATTGACCAGGAATACCGGTTCTGCAGTTAGCAAGGCTGCTGGAGAATTAAGAAGTTGGGGCTGCAAGGCCACGGTGACCACAGTGGGGAGCATGTGGCTCAGAGTGAGGCCACTGGGGCCCCCTCACTCACTCAACCTGGGCCATGTGAGTTTTCTCAATAGTTTCTGTTAGCATCAAGAGTCTCAAGGTCATTCTCACTCCCCCTTCGACCTCGCCAGAGAGTATTTTGGGTTAGGGGTGGGAGTTGGCCATCAAAGTTGATCTTTAGCCAGAAATTAGATCCAGAGGGTGCTGTGAAGACCATCTGTCATATCAGTGAGAAGAAAAGACCTCATGAGTCACTATTTCACATCCTCTTGATTGTTGGCTATTTTTCAAACTCCAGCCAATACTCTGTGATAGTCTCAAGACATCTAGGGGCCCCACAGAACCCACCAAAGCCGTGTCTGCAGCCTCGCTTTTCTTTGCCAGAGGCTCTACTTTGTGGCTGGCTCTGCAGTCTCTCTGACAGGGCAAGCCCAGAATTTTGGAACTAGTAGGAGTTTTAGCATCCTCTAGCCTAGAAAGAGCCAATAAGTAGCTCCATTTGCAGACTTTAGATAATGGAGTGAGGGACTGTTAAGAGAAACTTCATTTTTATAATTCATGCAAATGGCATCTGTGAATGCATGTTATTCTAGTGATCATCAGCTTGGATGATAGAACTTACATTTTATAGACGTTTACAGGTCACTTGTAATCTGTGTACTATCCCAGAACACCAGAGCATCCAAGTGAAGTTGGTTGACCACCAACGTCAGTGGTGGGGCCGGACCATCTCATCGTGAGACTGGTTCTTTTCTCTGTTAAATTTGTTACCTGCCACACACACCCCTCTCCGAATTCTTCACCTTGTAAGTGTTCCAAATAGTTCCATTCCAACGAAATGGAGCATTCTGTTAACTTTATGTGATCAGTTAGCCCCCACTATGCAGAGCCTGGTGAACTCGGAAAAAGATCCTTTTGTGAACTTCCCAGAGTTTTATGAGCTTCCTGAATTGTCTTTTAACTTTTAATCAGAAGAATAGCGATAACATTAAAAAACAAAGATAAAGAAAATAGAACAGTATCTACCCTAAAGTTGTTAACGATCCAGTGAGGAGACAGCATTGAGATACAAATAAGATATAAATACCTGAAAACACATTATTGTGTGGTCAGAACTGGTGATGCAGTGTGAGCTCTGAGCCCGATGGGTTAATCATTGAAGGCTGCCTGGAAGAGGTGAGTTTGTAAGCGAGGTTTGGAAAGGGATGATAGGAGAGTGGAGAGCACTCCAGGAGAGGAATATATGGTGTATACACTAAATAAGGCACACAATTAAAAGATTCTAGATTCCAGAGAGGAGATCTTCTGTTCTGGCCCACAGATTATTGATCTAGCAGAAGAGCAAGGGAAATTTTTAAGACTATTTTGTTCAATTTAAATGATACCTGGTTTTAAGCAAATAGGACTTTTAATCCCCTTTAAAACCATAGGTGGAATTCTAAGACAATCTGAATCCTGGCAAAACTGTTGGGAAAGATTCACTTTTTTCACCTGCATACATTTCCTTACCCTTAGGATTCCAGACCACACCTCTTTCTTATTGGCTGCATTGGAGTTAGTGGCAAGACGAAGTGGGATGTGCTCGATGGGGTGGTTAGACGGCTGTTCAAAGTAAGTGTCTCCAGAAGATGGTTGCAGCAAATAATACCCCTGCAGTGGGGCCTGTGGCTTGAGGGAAGGGGAGGGTGGCTTGTGACCTGAGCTAGCTAGTTCTTGGGCCTAGCCCCTCTCTTATGGTTCTGAGACTTGTCCCCAGGCCCTAAACAAGAGGCGGGTGGTAAGAACAGATGAGTGGCCAGGCCCACCTGACCCCAATGGTGATTGGCCACTCACTGAGAGTCATTTCACATGCATCTCTCACTGCCAAACTGCTAATGTCCTAGTTCTCTTTTCACCTTAGAATTTGGTCCTATTGAATATGTTTTGGAATGTATGATGTGGTTGGGACAAGACATCACCTTTCCACCCTTCATTTTGGGGGGATTTGATCTGACTCACCCAGTATCCTGTGCCAACACTTCAGAGTCTGTGTTTTGTACCATAAGAGTTGTTAACATCTGGTCATTGGCCAGCAAAGGATGTTGGTGTATTTTCTGTTTATTCCCATCATATCATAGGAGTGGATGTTGGCACGGAAGAAATAACTGATGAGCTTTGGGTTGAATCTTAAAACAAAAATAGTTTGAAAGATGCTTTTTGTACGTTTCTTCTATCGATTGACCTGAAGTCATTCAACAGCCATAAGTGTGCCCTAATCATATCCCTTAAGTGGTCATAACCTACTTTTCTTGTGTCAGAGACTATGCTAAGCCCTTTCTTCACATTAATTTACTCCAGACCTGTGAGGAAGGTCCTGTTATTTTCCCCCATTTCAAAGTGAGCAGAATAAGACCCAGATTGGGCTCCCTTCCTAACATCATAGTTCTGGGGCTCCGTCATGTTGGTCTAGTTGAGTTGATCTGATTTCAAAACCCACTAAGACGTACACTCTAGTCTCCTCAAATCTAGGTCCCGAGAAAATTCTGTTCTCTGACAGAAGATTGGTCCCTGTGTTAGCAGACCAATCTCTGATATATTTGAGCAGGCCAAGCTTTGCCTCTGCTGATGGGTAGCCGAAACACCCTTGGACCTGAAATGTAACAGTTTGGGCTGAAAACAGCCTGTGATACATCACAGGCGAGACAGTGATGGAAAGATGAAAGATTTCTTACAGAATGATGTTTTCATGAAATTCCCAGCACCGGTCCCAAGCCCCAATATCTTCATGGCTTCAGTCTAACTTTTCCCTGCTTCGTTCATCCAGACTAAACGCTTACAGTCCTGTTCGGGGTTTTTTATTTCTCCATCACTAACCAAATACATCTGTATTTTAAGAGGCCCGTGACAGAAGGACATCTTTCCCATAGAAAGTTGCCTCTTCTCCCCCCAGTTCCAGAGCTCGATTTCAACTCAGGCATTAGCCAAGAAAGACAAGGAGATGATCGTAAATCACCCACCGAAAGCGTGAATCACCGGCAAACTGCTGCCACATCTTTGATGGGGTCTTTATTTTTCTTCCAGGAATACATCATTCATGTCGACCCGGTGAGTCAGCTAGGGTTGAATTCAGATAGTGTTCTCGGCTACAGCATTGGGGAGATCAAGCGCAGCAACGCTTCCGAGACACCCGAGCTTCTTCCCTGTGGCTATCTGGTCGGGGAGAACACCACCATCTCTGTGACTGTCAAAGGTAATGCAGCCTGTGCAGTCAGTGGTGGCAGTTTTCAGGAACTGCAATTTGCGTTTTGGGGCTTGGCTAAGGACGCTGTGGCCTTGATTTTGTTTGTGCAGATACATGTGGGGGGGTGCTCTTCCCCCTTTAACCACAGTTATTCTTATCTAAGCAAGTTAAACAGTCTCCATGTTTCACCCACCCTAGGAAGCAATTTAAATTTATTGCTGAAATTACCTAACAAAAGGTCCCATTAGCCTGATGACTCTGAGAAGATGGAATCTTAATAACTGTGGAAACCAGGCTCTACCAATACAAATGAATTACACTTGCCAGCGAGCCTTGGATGCCGTCCCATTGTACAGACAGGAAACCACGAGTTGCTATAGGCTAGAGTGGAGTTGCTCCGAGCACCCTGTTGAAATACTGAGGCTCTTGCCCAGCTTGTGATTACCTCACCCCCGGAGACGCGAGCCCCCGCAGGCGGAAAGTGTGTTCTGCAGAACTCCATGCTTGCATGGCCAAATAAATCTGGGAAATGCATCATAACCACTATTTAGGCTTAGGGGCCTAAGGAGGCAGGAATATACTAGTACAGTGAAGGCTCTGACCCTTACTGTCCTTATTCCTGCCACTTAAAAGGCTGTTTCTTATTTGACACTCAACTCTCCCCCCTCAACAGACATTTTTTAATACTTTATAAATCACCTACGTAAGGAATAGACTTTCATAAATACTGTCGAGTTTCAACTTTCAGGCCTCCTATCTCATGCTCCCTGAAGGCACCAATCTCACTGCAATGTTGGAGTGGTTTTATCTCCCGGTTGGAAGGTTCTCCAAAAACGCCCATCTTGCCCACCAGCAGGATTTGCGGCCTTGCTCTGCTCGCCACAGCAGCGCCTCCCTGCTCCAGTTTCACACAGCCTTAATTTGCTGGCGCAGGAAGTCCCAAAGCACGCAGCCCTCAATGCAGGGCCCCTTCCAGTTCCTACCTCTTAAATGCAGGCCTCGCAGAGAACAGCCTGGATTCCCTGGTGTTCGAGTCCCTGATCCCCAAGCCCATCCTGCAGCGCTACGTCTCCCTGCTGGTGGAACACAGGCGGATCATCCTGTCTGGCCCCAGTGGCACTGGGAAGACCTACCTGGCCAACCGGCTCTCAGAGTACCTGGTGCTTCGGGAGGGACGGGAGCTGACAGACGGGGTCATCGCCACCTTCAACGTGGATCACAAGTCCAGCAAGGTGAGGTGGTTGTTTGGAGGCTCCTGCCCAGTCATGGGTGACCCTTTGGCCCTTCCAGAACACATGCTGCCACCACCACCCCAATGGGAGAGGGGTGTTTCCTTTAAACTCTCCTCTGGTTATAAAAGGCCAGTGAAGGAGACAGGGTGGGACTCTGGGAAGAATGGCTTTGACCAAAAACTTGCAAGAATTTTTCTTTTTTATTTAAAAAGATTTATTTATTCATACATACAAGAACTGGGGTACAGGCTAGAGGTGTGGGGGGTGAGAGGATTCTCCAGAGACAGAGTGGGGAACAGACAGACAGATCGATTGAAACACACTGCTGAGGGGAACAGTGGGTGAGGCAGGAGAGGTCTGCCACACTATGTGGGTCACCTCCGGGGCCGGAGATCGAACTCATGCTTCAGTGGCTGCAGATAGCTTCCCAGTGTTGTGCTTTTAGTCCATTGCACCGCCAGGGAGAGCCCCCAGCAAGAATTTCTATCTATGTCAACCTAGTTCATGTGTTATGTCCCCACCATGAGGCCAATGTGATGCTCAGTGCTACTAGATTTTAGCAGCCCCTGGACCCCAAACTGGCCTTGCCCCTGTGTAGCAGACTAGCCTCTAGTGCGTGTTCAACACCCATCTCGGCCTGCATGGGGCTGGCGAAGTGAAGGCTGTTAACTTGAGGGTCTTCTGTGGGATGCTTCACTCACCTGTCCTTCTCTGGCCCTCGGGCCATCGCAGGAGCTGCGCCAGTACCTGTCCAACCTTGCCGACCAGTGCGCCAGCGAGAACAACGCGGCGGACCTGCCTGTCGTCATCATCCTAGACAACCTGCATCATGTCAGCTCCCTGGGCGAGATCTTCAATGGGCTGCTCAACTGCAAGGACCACAAATGGTAAAGGCCTGAACCTCGGGGCCCTCGGGAGAGTGCCCACCGCGTGGCACCCTCCACCCAGGGAGTGGTGGCCAGGTGGGGGCGGGGCAGGCAGCCACCCGCCCATGCACAGGGCCGAGGGCCACGGCAAGCACCTGCTTCTCCAGCGTGGCTTTGACTCACAAAGTTCTCTGCCCCGGTTTGTTCCCGCAGCCCTTACATAATTGGCACCATGAACCAGGCTACCTCTTCCACTCCTAACCTGCAGCTCCATCACAACTTCAGGTAAGATGTCACCTCCCTTGACTCGTTAGGTGTCCAAAGGACAAAGGAGTGTAAGAAAGAGTAAGCCGAAAGGCTGCTGTGAATACCTGGGATGTGCCAGGCAGTGCAGAGTTAAGCTCTGTTCCCAGTTTAACTCATTTGCTGTCTCAGCAGCCTCAGGTGGTTGAGATTTATCCTTCTCAGTTTAGTAATGGGGAGACTGAGCTCAGAGAATTCGTCACTTGTGTCAGGTCACACGGCCATCAGTGGCGGGGCTGAGACTCGCACCCACACTTCTCTGACTCAATCCTAAGGGAGCAGCATCAGACAGGCAGCCCTGGCAGGGGCCGCTAGCACCCCCGTGCCTCCCCTGCACACAGTAGGTGGCACAGCCCTCTCACCCAAGGGGTCTGAGCAGGGAAGGCTCCTGCTTGGGAACGTCCCCGCGTAGCTGGGTGTCTGGACCATGGAGTTCTAGCTGCTGTGAGTCTGTCCCTCGCTATCATCAGAGAAATGTCAACTCCTCCAGGCCCCTCAGACTATGACCCACCTCTGCACCTAGGTCTTATCCACGCTTTCTCTTAATACCCCTCAAGTCCTTGCTCCTTGCCCTCCCCCGTGACTGCCCTGTTAGCCCCCAGTGTGCAGCTGCAATTATTTTCTAACCAGTATGCCTGCCTGCAGCTTCCTGACCCCCCCACCACTCCAGCCAGCTTCTGTGCCAATGGCAACCAGAGTGAACATTCTAGAATTCAGATCTGACCATAAAACCTTCGTGTTTTCTCTACCCGAGTGGTTCCCCATTGCCTCCAGAGTAGAATCCAGCTGACACTGGTTTCCCTGAACCCCTGACAATTTCCCAAATAGCCCACGCCTTTTCTGGTTCTCAAGCCTCTGCAAATGCTCCAGCGTGCCCTCCATCTTCCACCCAGCTCCACACTCCTGTCTGCCTTTATGCGTCTGCTCCACTCAGCGTTTTGGTCTCCGCCCAGACATCTCAAGGAGCCCTCCCCAACGCCCAGGTTTCATCGTCACTTCTATAGCTCTAGCTCAGGGCAGGCCTGATCCACACAAGGGGTCACATGCTCAGCATTCGGAGCTCGGCCACTGTGCTGGACTGTGTTGGTTCTAATCTTGGCTCTTCTAGCTGTTGATATGGGACAAGTTACATAACCTGTCTGTGCATCAGCATTTCAGTCTATAAATGGGGATCTGTATCATGGGGATTCCGTGGGAATTGTGAATCATTGTAACTGTGTTCAGCACAGCATGTGGCTCTTGACGTGAGTCGTCACTTTTGTCACCGTCTCCACTCTGAAAAGCACTCCTGACTTCCCCCAGGTGGGTGCTCTGTGCCAACCACACAGAACCTGTGAAGGGTTTCCTCAGCCGCTTCCTGAGGCGGAAGCTCATGGAAACAGAGATCAGTGGGCGGGTACGGAATGTGGAGCTGGTAAAAATCATCGACTGGATTCCCAAGGTCTGGCATCACCTAAACCGCTTCCTGGAGGCTCACAGCTCCTCAGATGTCACCATAGGTAGGTGGGAGGCCTGGCGGAACGAACGGTGGGCCGGTTCCGGTGGGGCTTCTCCTGGAAGTCAGGTCTTGGAGGAGGGGCAGGACAGCACCTTGCCAGGCCACATCCCCGTCAGCCAGATGTGGCACTGCCCATGCAGATAGAGAGGCTACCCCCCACACCCCTTAGTCATCCATGTCCTCCGGGGGTGTCTCCACCCCTCTTCCCTGCCCAAGGAGACATGATCCAGCTGAGCTCGGTGAGGAGCCCGCACAAAGCCCCTCGTTCAAAACCACCGTTGGGACTGGCTTCACTTTACATATAAAATTTACTAGTATTGGGGCCTCCCTGGTGGCGCAAGGGGTTAAATCTTAGCACTATGAAGCTGTCCACAGCCACTGCAGCATGAGCTCGATCCCCAGCCAGGGAGCTACCCACAGGGCCAGCAGGCCTTCCCTGTCTCACTGCTGCTCCCCTCAGCAGTGTACTTCAGTTAGCCTGTTCTGCTCCCCACTCTGCCTCTTGTGAATTCTCTCACCTCCCCCCCCCTTCTAGCCTGCTCCCCAGCTCTTGTATGCATGAATCAACAAAATAAATCATTTTTTAAAAAAGTACCAACCTTCTGACACTTAGGGATTTAAACAGACATAGAAACTTCACTGACTGTCCCATTTCCTTGACATAATCATTTCATTTGAGCTTGTAGCTTTCGTCCACATGTGTTTTATGTCGTTGCGATTATAGTAGACGGATTGTTCTTTTTTCACCTCATACTGTCTCAGGAGCATTCTCGACCACTCAATTTTTATCATTACATTAAAAGGCTGGAAAGAAGTCCAATCTCAATGTACCATCATTTGCTTAAGGGTCTGGGTTCTTTTGGACATGTGTCTCCAAGGTCAGGTTAATAATACTGTAGTGAGAATCTTTCTCCAGAAAACGCCCTCTCTGGGGTGATTTCCTGAAGGAGACTGGTCCCAGGATGAGAGTTAGAAACCTGCACTGTCCCCACCTGGCAGCTGGGACCTCTGTCATCATTCAGAAGACCCAGGGGCTCTAGACCACCAGCCCACCACAGCCCACCCCTTTCAGCTTTGACCGCCTCTCTTTGTGGCCCCCAGGCCCCCGGCTCTTCCTGTCGTGTCCCATCGATGTGGATGGCTCCCGGGTGTGGTTCACTGACTTATGGAACTACTCAATTATCCCCTATCTCCTGGAAGCCGTCAGAGAAGGACTCCAGGTAAGCACACACCAACCGCTGGCCTCCTTGGCATGGGCAGCTGTTCTGGTAACTAACTAGAGGAGTGGCCTTTATCTCCTTCAGGAATCTGACTGATGTGACGTGATGGCCCCCAGCTGGGAGGCTGGCAGTCTAGCACCGCAAACCTTGGCTGTGAGACTTGTTAGCTGTGCAGCCCCAAGCAAGTGTGTAGCCTCTCTGGGCCATAGCACCCTCATGGCTAGAAGAGGAAGAAAGTCACCGTGTACCAGAAAGAGTCATTGTGTTCATTAAATGAAATCATTTACAATGCTCTGTGGGGTAAATGTGCAAGAGATGGGAGCATACATGTATGTAGCCCTTTACAGCTGGCAAAGTACAGTTTGTTGGTTGGTTTAAGCTCTGCATCAGTCCTGGGGCTAATGTTTGCATCTTCAAGGAAATCTGAGGTTCAAAGAGAATAATTGTGAATCTTGGAGAATCTAGGCATCAGGTGCAGACCTCAGGCTTGAATTTCAGGTTCTCAGGCCTCAACCCCACAATGTTCACTTCGTGATATCAGGACCCCACATGGGTGATCCTGGAATGTGGGGGCCAATCAGCTCCCTGCCCAGCAACCATGCACAGCAAAGTCCTTCATCACTCAGCCCCAGGTTTAGTGCCATGAGCAAGCGTTACACGGGGCCTTCCTATGGTTTTATTGCTGAGTCTGGAGGTGGCCCGAGACATACGTAGGTCTCCAGTTCCCACACTGCGTAATAAGTTGGCATCGTGTTCAGCTGAGGAATCCAGGAGCCAGTTGGCAGCTCGTTTTCCGAGGGCTGCTTTATTTCCTCGGTCTGGTAAAGGGAAACGTGCTACTGTCGGCTGCAGGCCGCATGCATGATGAGTGTGTTCAAGTCCCTGTCAGTTCTGTACATTTGGGCTGAGCCCCACGAACTCTTGGCTGCTGTGGTGTTCAGAGGCATCAGGACACTTAGAACTCAGATGGGATAATAGTGAACCCCTGGGGAGGTGTATTTCATCAAACAGCCCATAGGCTTCAAATGCAAGCATAAGTCAGTCTTTGGTCAAAAGCTACAGCCCTACAGATACAGACCCACTCATTCATTCCTATGTTCTTGGGCCAGTGGAAGCATTTCCCGCCTGGTGGCTTTTTGCAGTCCATTCCATTGCAGAAGTCTTTTCTCCTCTCTTCTCTGTAAGTGGTTATGGGCTGTGGTATCACTAATACCGTTAAGCTCACACAACTCAAGAGAGACAGGGAATTACAGTGGGATGGGGGAGGGGAGCACTATTTCCTCCTATTTCCTACTGCCTATCAGCCTCCCTCAGGCTGCTTCTTTTCTCCAAATAGATTGTCTGGTGAGGGGTGGAAGCAAGAGTATGGTGGGAAGGACTGCAGGGCTCTGTCCAGTGAGGGTCTCCCCTGCCGGAGGAAGCTGTCAGCTAGAAGTGGGGCTGTCTGTGCTCTGGCCTTGAGCCAACGGTAGACAGCACCAGGGCAAGAGAAGTGGTCATGAGGGGAGCAGGCATTGGTTCAGAGCAGTAAGCCCCTGGCCAAAGCTGTAACCTGAGACATGGAATCCCCAGAATGGGCTCTGTCTGGACGGTGAAGGCCGTGGCAACTCAGACCCTGCTGCCATCAGGCCTTGCCTTGTCTCCGGACAGCCCCTCCTGCAGGCACATCCTTACCTGGAAGAGAGCTGGCATTGCCCCCTAGTGGATGCCAGGTGTCGCCACCAGTGTTGACTTCCCAGTAGGATTCGTGAGTGTGTGTGCAGTGTGCGCACAGATGTGGGATGTACACATGCTCCCACTAACTGCATCCCATAGAGTCAGAAGTCTCATCATGGCCCAGATTGTCACTTCCAGTGTCTTGGTACCCTGTTCCTGACCCCGTGGGAATGCCCTATGTCAGCCTGTCTCCCTGCTGTCTCTGCTGCTTCCCAGAGCTGCCTCAGGGCTAGGCAGCAGGGTGATATTCCCTTTCCTGGCAGTGGTACTTAGCCAACCATTCATCACCTGGATTTGAACATGTCCAGTGGCAAGTGGGAAGGCTTGTAAAAATATTTTCTGTTCTTGCAGATGATGTTAGCTGTGCCTGCTGGTGCATTTGTCTTATGACTCAATCCCCAGTCCTGTTCCCCTTTGGAATTGTCATTAGACACTTGCCAAAGTGTCTCACGTCAACAGAGAAACTTAAAAGACCTTTGTCCGTGATGAAGGGGGAGAGCATGGGGCCTGTTATCAGATGACCCAGCCTGCCCTGAGCCCCTGGGAAAGTCTGCCATCCCGAGGCCTCAGCTTCCCAACTTGTAATCTCAAAATGTTGGGCTTGGAGAGTTTTGGTTGTTGTTTTTTTTTTTTTTTTTTCCAGGCTGACTCCTTTGGAGTCTTTAAGCTACTCATGGGTGGGCAGGGGTGAGGGGAGGAGAGCAATATTTGAGAACCACTGGGCCAGTTTCTTTTCAAGGACTTGATGAATTCCAAGTGCTGGCCTCTGTTCTTTTATAGCCCTGAGCATCTTCTGCTCCAAGCTGAAGCATGGAAATAAAAGTGGTAGCTGTCAGAAATGAGGCTGCGGTTCAGCCCCATACTTGTGAAGTCTGGCTTGGGAGAGGTGGCCCATTTCCACAGGGAAAGCCCTTGGACCGCGAAGCTTCTAAAAACTGCAGGAATGTTTTTAATGTGCAACAGACGTCTTTGGTTCAAGTGCATCTGTGTTGCCTCCCTTCCTGACATGCACGCGCGCACACACGCCCTTTCACAAAACCCTTCCCTGCTCAGACTCTGAATTGCCTGTGGAATACCAGACTGTGTTGCTGGGCCTGAGACTTTCCCCTGCCCCAGGTTAAGGAAGATTTAGTGACAGACAGGCCCAGAGCGCTAGACAGGATGGGCGGTGGTGTCTGAGCGTGCGGTGAGCTCAGAGGAGGCTGTGTGTGTCTTGAGTGCAGCAGACACTATTGAAAAGATGGATGGCCCATCTGCAGTGCAGGCAGAGATCACACGTAAGGGCAGAGGCAATGTGAGACAGCTGGAGGGGACAGCAAGCTCAGCCCTGGCTGACGTGTCCTGGTCTGCTGGGCGGCCTGCCCTGTGTCTCCCGGCCTCTGTCTGGCTGAGTCATGAGGTTCCTGCTTACACCAAGTGGTTCATCATGGAGTCGGTGGGGAGGGGAGCTCTGCTCTGTAACCTTTCACAGCTGGTTGTCCTCTTTAGACTCGTGTCCCTGAGTGGTAAACAAGGGGGCAAACCTAAGTGACCCCAGTTCCTTCCTGCTGAGATAGCTCAAGATGCAGGAAGATGCAGCTTTGTCAGAGCCCAGCTCTGTTTTACTGGCAGCTCATTGCTTGCTCTCTCCTCAACAGTAGGAATCTGGGGGGTAGAGGGGACCCAGACTGTGTGCGGATGTCATTCCTCTTGAGAGCCCTCCTGCCGCCCTGGGGTCCTGGAGTCTCTGGTCTTTGTGCCCCGTGGTCTCCTCTGGAAGCAGCTGGTGCTGCCCTGCAAGGCACATCCTGTCCATGAGCACATCTGTCACATCTGCTCAGACTCTGGGGTGCACGGACTTGGATTCCAGTTCTGCCTGCTCTCCTCTCGGGTCCTCATCTGGGAGACTCCTCTTGGGGTCACACAGGATTAAGACAGTGGCAGTGCTAGATAGGACAGACAGACAAGTTGCCCCAGCAGCACAGACACAGCACCCGCCTAGGGAAGTGATCAGGCCGAGGCTCCCCTTCTTGAAAAAATATGTGCATCTTGAAATTGCCAGTAGAAGTGCGTAAAATTCCGTATCATTACCTATTTAATTCAGTAAAGGAACTTGGAGCCAGACACTGGTCTTATAAAATTGTTTCAATGTCTGTTTTAAGAGCCAATTAGTTATGATGGACAATTTTGACAAATACACAAAAAAGCAATCACAATTCCCCTGGCCGTAGTAACCTGTTACAATTTGCTGTTTTGAAAGTGACCCGGATGTCTATAGAGGGACTCTGAAAAATGGGGTTTCATTGAACCAGGGTCATTCACGACCTCTACCTGTGGTGATGATGACCAGCATCCCTTGGAGGAAGCACTCTTGTGGGGAGTGGGGTGCCCCCAGTGGGATGCCTGGCTGGCTCCAGCTGATAGTCAGTGCATCTTTCTAATTCTACATTCAGCAATACTTGTTGGTAGATTGAAATTGGCCAGAATGGGAGTATTTACCCCATGGAAACAGGCAGATGCTTTGATCAGGTTTTGTTCCTCCAGAGACCACTTTTCAAGTTGGATGAATAAGACTTAAAGTTTAGGGTGACCCAGTGAATCAGTGGCAGAGCTGAGATGTAAACCCCAGTCAGCCTGACTCCTCAACTGGTGCCCTTGATGCCAGGGTCATGCTGCCCTCAGTCTTGATGCACCAAGCTGCCTGGCTCGGGTGAGAGTCTTAGAATTCTGGGAGTACAATTACTCATGAGGGGGTCAGAGGCTGGGGGGGGCAGTTTATCAGGAAGCTTCAACCTCAGGGCTCCAGAAGAAGTCTCAGCCCCACTTCTAGACTGTTCCTTTGTGTTTGCAGCTCTACGGAAGGCGGGCCCCCTGGGAGGACCCTGCCAAGTGGGTGATGGACACCTACCCATGGGCAGCCAGCCCCCAGCAGCACGAGTGGCCACCCCTGCTGCAGCTCCGGCCTGAAGACGTGGGCTTTGATGGTTACTCCTTGCCTCGGGAGGGCTCAACCAGCAAGCAGGTGCCCCCGAGCAGTGCTGATGGAGACCCGCTGGTGAGTAATCAGGGCCAAGAGCCGCCTCAGTCAGTGAGCTTACAGTGTCTCTGGAGGCTAATGTCAGCCACACTGGCCACGAGAGCCAACTGAGCCCCGGCCTTCATTGCTGCGAAAGGTTGGATTTTCCAACATTAGGGCCATGTTTATCACTGCTTTCTTTCATGGTTTTAGTTTTTCACTGAAGCCTTGAACCTCTCTGAATTTTCTTCTGGCTCATGCTAAAAGACAAAGGATTTGACATTTCCCCTTCTAATTGCCCCCATAGCTACGGTCACAACACCATACTGGTTTGCCACCTGCTGTGCTGTTCCAGTGACTCCAAAGAGCCAGAGCTCAGTGGTCAGGACCATGGGTGTGGAGAAAAGGAAGGGCCTGCAGGGCTCACAGAGGGCAGGGAGGCCTGAGATGCTAACTCGCTCCACCATTGCTAAGGCAAGAAAGGCCTTTTGAGAAGAACTGGACCAGGGAAGGGAACACTATTAATTATGATGCCCTCTGCTAATGAAAGACACATTCATGGTCATACTACGAAATTAGGCCTAAGAAACCAAAAGCCCTGTAAAATAAGGTGCAAGCTCACAGCATAATGCCCCCCACCTTCTGTTAGAAGACCATTATTAGGCTTGAAATTTAAATTTGGGAACAGTACAGCAAAATGTCGTCCTTGCATTACCTGATGAAAGAGAAGACTACTAGGACATCCTTTAAAAGTCAACACCAACAGTCCAGTGCTATCCCTAGTGTCTAATTTATTTACTAAGCAAAATGTCAAATAGCAGCTTTGGGTCACCTGCCATCTTCCTGATTGGTGGCAAGGCCCTGGGGCACTGTTCAGACTTAGGAGAATTCTTTTATAATGTATTCATTATTTGTGTCGCTGTGCAGTCTAATTGGCAGAATATACAACAGTAGTTTTTCCAAGGAATGAATTCAACTTTCCAAAGTCATTTCTAACATTCACTGCTACTAAAAGCCAAAGTCAGGGAGATATTTTTGTGAGTGCAGGCTCATGAGATGTTAAATAAAAATGGAATTCAGGCTGATTCAAGGAAAAAATAGTGCATCCCCAGATACACCAAGAACATTTGCATCGCTGCTTGAACACAGAAGGGGTTTAGGCCAAACCTGGAGTTCTCTGAAGTTACACAAAATTCTCCTTCCAACCCCAAGTCCCCTGATGTGAACTGCCAGTCTGGCCACATACCCCTTCCCTTTCCAGGGTAGGGAGCGCCCTGGGTCTGTTCCAAGAGGACAAGATAGCCTTGGTTTGTTCCAGACCAAAGCCTTTGAGTCCAGTAGGAATGTTTCATGAGTGACTAAACAATCCCAGCTATGTTGTCCATTACACTTCAAGCGCCTCCTCTTTGGTGGTCATGGCTGTGCAGCTGGACACCAGCAAAGGCGCTTCTGTGGCCCGGCTCCCTAGAGTGCCTCTACTAAGCACCCTATGGAACAGCTGGCCAGGAAGTGGCTGAACTTCACACCCAGCTGTGCCACATCTCAAAGAAAGCCTAATACGTACACACAATCTATAGTTATAAGCAAAAGTAGTTTTTTGTCTCCCCCTCCACTCTCAAACGATAACCAGTAGATTGTAGGGCAGGAAAAATGGAATAATAGTCTTTAAACTCTTTCAAGTCATTGATGGGGATGGGGATGGTGATGATAGCAGATCACATTTATTGAACACTTACTATGTACCAGGCCCTGTCTAAGGGCTTAGTATGCCTGTCCTTTTGTTCCCTGGTTCAGCCTCATGAGATAGGTGCTTTGGTCTCTATTCAGTAGATGAGGAACTGTTGGCACTGATATATTTGGTAATTTGCCCAAAAACTCCTGAGTTGGGATTCAGGCCTCTGCTCTGCTGTGACTGGGGCTGTGAATCACCTCCAGGGAATGCCTTGACAGGAACAGGAGCACAGTCAACCCAGCTGCCCTTGGGCGAGAGCCAGGAGATAGATGGCTCGATGTTCACAAAGGGGGAGACCTGTGCTTTGGTCGTTAGTGGTAGTGAGACACATGTTCCAGAAGCCCATACCCAACAGGGTCTTTGCTCAGGTTGAGCGCGATGCTTGGGTGCGTTGTGCCCACCATAGAAAACATCAATATTTATAGCCAGCTTCCTGTTTGTATTCTTGGGGCTCTGCATTTATCAAGTTAACCCACACCATAACATTTCAGGGCAGGCATGATTTTTAATCACTTTTGACCAATAAAGAAACTGAGATGCCCAGAAGTGAACACATATACCTGGGGCCAAACAGCAGGTGAATGGTGGGACTGGGACCTGAACCCTGGTAGCCTGACCCAGCTCTTACTGCTGCTTCTCCTGTGGGCCACTGCCCAGGGTGAATCTGAGATTGGAGAGCTGGGCTTGAAGAGGCCAGGGTGGGCGGCTGACTGAACTGGATGCTCTTCCCTCCTTCTCCAGATGAACATGCTGATGAGGCTGCAGGAGGCCGCCAACTACTCCAGCCCCCAGAGCTACGACAGCGACTCCAACAGCAATAGCCATCACGATGACATCCTGGATTCGTCCCTGGAGTCCACGCTGTGATGGGCCCAACCACAGAGCCCGCCCCTCCTCTAACTCTCACCCCACTCACCTCCCTTCCCATCCTGGAGATGACCTCCTGAGCCAGCCCCTGGCTGCAGGGACACCAAGACCCCTCGTCCTCCAGCCTTGACCTGGGGACAGGCATCCCAGGCCAGTTGCCTTGGGACCTCTTCTTTCTACAGTGAAACTGCACTACCTTCTGTTTGATGGGAATTATTGTTTTGCCTTGTTGCTGTGACCTCCCTAAGACGCTAGAGATACTTCTTGGGAAAGGATTGTCACCATTGAAGTAAAAAGGGTTAAAAGCAAGAAAACTCACTTGAAGCCCTGAAACCAAACAGCATCTGCCACAAGCTTCTCCGAGACAAGAGACCAGGGCAAACTGAGAAGTATCGACAGCATGACTTGTCCTCCACATGACCCTCCAGCTTGGTCTGCCCACGGCCCGCCACCCACCGTCCACCCCGCGGCCCCAGAGCCCTGGGCTGGCTCCGACAGGCCCACCGCAGAGCTGTGCCACAGGAGTCCTGGACAAACCACCCATGCTTTCTGTTTTTTCTGTTTTCTGACTGGTGCTCTCCTTACCCATGAGGTATTTCGTTCCAGTTCAACAGTACCTTTCCGACCCTCCAGTGAAGCCAGAGCGGGAGTAAAGGAGCGAGAAGGTGCGTGAGCATGTCACACAGAACGGCACGTGTTTCCTTCCCGCTTAGAAATGAATCAGGTTTCTTTTCTGCAAACACTGTGTATAGTAAGCATTGCTCTACTTTGGAGAACTGAGAGCCCTTTTGAAAATGAGGTTGAGTTTCCCCTTTTCTGACTTTTTCATTTTTGAAGATTTTTTTTCCCCTTTCCCTTCTTGGTCAGAATCAATCCTTTGGTGAAAGTAAGAACCACAGGAGTTGTTCAGTTTGGTCCTGCTGAGTTTTGGTTTTCAGTTGTCCAGCCTCACGGTTCTACACACTCGCCTCACGCTGCAGGGACTCGGGGCAGCTGTGTCTTCGGGAGTGACCAGGGCCCCATCCTCCACAGATGGACCAGCTGGGATCTCGCCTGCCCTTCTCCTCCACGAGGCTTTTGCTCTGGTGCGCCAGCCCCAACCTCAGGTGGGGTGTTGAGGTCACCTCACAAAAGACTGCACTTTCCTCAGAACCAACAGGAAGCAACTCAACAGGGGTGGGCTGGCCCCTGCCCCTGGCAGCCCCGGCCTCCATCCTGGCGAGCCCGGCCTGACCTCTTTGGTGCTGACCTTCCCAAAGTGATGCCTTACTGGTTTTGTATTAACTGTGTTCATTTATGCGCGTCGTGTCTGCCTGGGGTCCGTTTCGTAGTTGTTTTTGTTTTCCCCATCAGAGCAAACAGGGCTAAAAATGACCATTACTCATTAGGAGAACTCGAGTTGCTGGGACTTTTCTCATCCAAGAGACTGTATGTGTGTGGATGCATGACCATTGGAAAAAGAAAAAGGGGGGAAAGTCTGTTTTGTTTTTTTTTCTCCCAGGGTCTTGATTAGCTAACACCCTGGTGGGGCAGTGACCCACCTTGTGCAGGAAAAGATGGGTACTCCTCCAGGTTGTCATAACAGTGTCTGGCCCTGCCAGTGTGTGTGGACACACTGGTGCTTTCCTGAAAGAGTGGGGGAACCTTTGCATTATTTCTGTTTCATAAAGAGAATCTTTATAGTACCCCCCCTCCCCCCGGGGTAGACTTGTTCACAATCAGGGTTTTTAGTCCATCTTTTCCATTGATTTTAATGAAGGTCAATCTCTGGATGCTTTTTCTTCATTTCTTTCTGCAAAAGCTTGAAAAAAAAAAGCTTGTCCAGCTTTCCCAGGACATTGATACCATTTTCTTCCTCCTTGAAAGGAAAAGAAGAAAGCATCCTACTAACTGGCGAATGGCCTCATCTTAGAGCTGTCCCGGCTTTCGGTCTCAGTAAACTCAGACTCTCTGCTAGGCCTTTGCAAGTCATCTGAGTATGTCTGTGTGTCTGGTTTAGTTTTATTTTTGATAAAGTTTTGGAATCCTATATTTAGCCTGTGACCACAGGCCAAACCCTGAGCCTTCTGGTAAACCCAAAGGGTGTTCTCAGTTTATCTCCCAATGATGACCTTACACTCTCATACTGTGAATTTGGGAGGAGGCAGAATTGACTTCTCTTGGTGGGTGGATTTCCCAGTCACCTTGCGAGTAGACACCTGCCAAGATTGTTTGACATTTTCTTTTAAATGACACCCTCTCTTCTCTTTCACCTCTCCCCACTCATATGGACTTCCCACCACTGGGTCCAGGCTCGGAAGTAAAACCTCTGTCCCTGGTGCTGTCTGACTAGTAAACAGTGATGGCAAGTAGCGGGGCCCTCGTAGGAGTCACAACTCAGTGTCCATCCTAGCGTTTCGGGAAGCAGGGTTGTCAAATATGCACATTTATTATTTTGGTCATATTCTACTTTTTGTGTCACTCACCTTTGACAAAGTGACTTTGTACTCATTTAGGGCTCTGTCCAAAATGCTTCCATTTTGCCTTTTTCTACAGTTAGGCTGATTTTGAAATGTATGAAATTCTATGCAACAGTTATGTTGAGTTACCAATGGAAGCCAAAAGATTTCTTCCCAAACTGCCAAGAATTTTACAGGCCATAAATGAGATGGGAATGCCTTTTAATTTAAGGTGGTGGGTGGGGGAAGGGTGGGAAAGGAACTAGACTTGCCTAGACCTTTATTGTATCTTCGGGACAATTTTTTTATTTTATCGTTGATGCTTAAATTTCAAAACTTTGTGTGTTCAGATATGGTCATGGCGAAACTACTTCAAAAGGAAAAAGAATCCAAATTTTGTGGATATTAAATGGAAGGTTTGCTGTTTTGATCTAGTTGTTTCCAGTGGGGCAGTTTATGAAATATGTTCTATAAGATGTACATTTTTTCATTGTAACATAGAAATTGTAAATAATTGATTAAAGTGCTGCATTTTGATGAATTTTTTCTAGCCATTTTTAAAGAGAAAACTAGGAATTGAGTATTTTGTGTACGGTATGTTCCCATCTTCCCTCCCCTTCCACTCTTCTTCCTCCCTATTTAATTTTCATTTGTCATGAGGTTTGGATTTGCCAATGATCTGCTGGAGATCATGCCCCACGTCATAGAGAATAAAACTGATGATTGTACCAGTCTTAAATTATTCATGATTCAATAAAATTGATGCTTATTTATTCAGATTAGTGGTTTGGCTTTTCTGTGCTAGAGCAGTCTTGATCAGAGTTCAACTCATGCCAGAAGGAAGTCCCTACATAGCCAACACAGCCCAAAACATTTGCAAATCCATCTTGGCTGCTATGTCCTCACTTTCACTTCTTGCTGCTCTTGTAGAGCTTGTTTAAAAGGAACCCTGGTGGCGTAGCAGTTTAAAGCACAGCACTAAGAAGCTTAACTCCACTTTGGCATGAGTTCAATCCCCGCCTGCCCCGGAGGGGATCCACATGGCGTGGCAGACTTCTCCTGGCCTGCCCGCTGCTCCCCTCAG